TTCATCTACGGGTCAGCGTAATTTAAGGGATAAAAAAAAGGGAGGTAAATTAAACTTATCTTTCATGAGATTTCTTACCATTACATAGACTTCTCATATGATTTCAATAATTATACTAACCTCTTTAACTTTTGAAATTATTATCAAGATTCCCTCAATCAGTTAAGTTAGTACAAAATGCATTAGTTGGGTGTGAAAATCACCATATTACCCTTTGACTTTAACGTGAAAAGACGAAAACACCCATAAACTAACTCATTCATTATCAACATGGATAAATTACACTTACCTCTCTTATGGTTTTGCATATATATTATCAAAGATTCGTACATATTTTAGCATTATTTAATAAAATTCTTAAATTTCATGCAAAATACAATAAAACCCTTGAATTGTTAAGACATTATTAAAACATTTAATGAAAAAAAAAAATCATTGATAAAATACTTAAAAATAAACAATCTCTCTAAAATTAATGTTAGATAACATTCTAATAATTTAATATAAAATTTATTCCACACTACATAAATAATGAAAAAAATATCATTTTAAGTAATACATTTATTATTTGAATTTTTTTTAAAGTTGAAATAAATGAATTTATCTTTTTTCCGACAATTTGCATTACTTGTTTATAAATATGTATGCAAATTATTATTTTATATTTTCTCAACCATATATTTTTCTCAAATTTTAATTTTTATCTTTGAGTCATTAAATTTTCAGTCGATGCATATTAAAAAAAAACACAGGTTAATATTTTTTACATTATTACAAAAATTAAAAATAAATATAAAAGTAAACATTAATCTTAACTGTAAGGGAAAATTAGTAAAATATTCCTCTTCAACTTTGTGTAATAGGAAAGATCAAAGACTTTTTTTTTTATTAGCTAAGGTCCCTCAACAGTTTCACAAAGAAAATTCAACTCATAAAAATTTGTCTAACTCAGAGAAATTTTGCCCGACTCAGATAAATTTTGATCATAACTTAGAGAAATTTCAATTCATAGCGAAATTTTTGATTTCACAGAGAAATTTCGAAATTCCTCTGATATTCTTTGTGAAAAATGTTAAAGAACCTTAATTACTATGAAAATATTGCATATCCTTTATTTTGTAAAATCGTAATATTAGGGGTCTTAAAAAAAAATTCCCTAACTTTAAATGCACTAAATTTAATTGATCCTATTAAATATATATGAAATTATTATTTATTTTTCATAATTTTTCAAAATATGAATGTAATTTTGACTCTTTTTTTCTACAACAAACATTAATGAAGGTGAGAAATTAATTTTAAGATTTAATTTAATAAAAATAGTTTAAATGAGATAAATAAATATGGAGAAATAGATTTTAAGTATCAAACATAACAAATTAATTGAGTATTTTATTATTCTAAAATAATTTTTTCATTCAAGTAAAGATTAATTTTAATTTTAAATGTAAGAAATGATAAATTGTTTGAATTATTTATTATTCTCAAATGATTTCTTAATCCGTCATTCCCTATCAACTAATCTTAATTTACTGTGAGGCGATAAGATATATATATATATATATATATTTACTTCTATATTGTATGAGAAATATTAATTTACATTTTTTTTTAAATATGCATCAGCTAGAAATATAATGATTCAAAATAAAAATAAAAATTTGAGAATAATATATGATTGACAAAAGATAAATTAATAATATTTTAACATATGAACAAATACGTAATGCAAATTTGTCGGGAAAAAAATCCATTTATTTCAACTTTAAAAAAAATAAATAATAAATGTATTATTTAAATGATAAATTTTACGTTGTTTATGTAGTGTAGAATAAGCCTTATATTAAATTGTTAGGATGTTATCTAATATTAATTTTAGAGATATTGTTTATTATTAAGTATTTTATCAATGAAGATTAAATTTTTTTCCCATTAAATGATTTAATAAGGGTCCTGCTACGTTTCATGAAAACTGTCATGAAAATTGTCATGAAAACCATCTGCACCGTTGGATCATGAGACACATACCTAATCTAACGGTGCAGATGGTTTTCATCACAGTTTTCATGAAAATTCTTCATGAAACCTAGCATTTCCCTTTAATAATGTCTTAACAATTTAATGATTTTATTTAATATGTCATGAAATTTAAATTTTTTATTAAATAATACTAAAATATGTATAGATTTTGGATAATATAAATGCAAAATCTCATGAGATGAAAGTAAGATTTCTCATTTGAATAGATAAGATCACTAATGGATAATTTCGTAGTTTTTTATATTATAATGAGTACTGCTATTAGCATTCCATAAATTATTTTGGGCCCTCCAATTTTTAATTTTTTTTTATTACAAATAATAACCTCAAATACAATTATTAAAAATGACATCATTAATTTTTTGACACCCCATCTCACAATCAAACCTACACACCCATTATATTATGAATTAGGGTTTGTGAGAGCACTCACCTTCATCACTATCTAACCATCTTTCCCAAATCCCACCTTCAAAACCCACCCACCCTCAAAATTTTGAAAATCCTTTAGCGGTAATATTCTGGCGGTAACAATGGTAACCATTTGACTACCTACACTTCTCCAGCAATGACAATATTTCGGCGGTAACGGTGGCAGCCCTTTGGCGAAATATAGGTCCGAACATTACTTATTTGTTTGGGATGGTGTTTCCGAACAAATAAGTAATGTTCGGAAATGTAGGTTCGAACATGTAATTTCTTAACACAATGAACGGTCAAAATTGTTAACATTTGTTGAAATTTTCATTTTTTTTAAGTTTGGGAATATAGGCCCGAGCATGAAAAATTCATAACACATAAAATGGTCAAAATTTTTAATATTTGCAGAAGTTATCGGAAGTAGTCCAAATCCATTATCAAGTTCGAAAGTTATTTTTTCATCAGGTTGCTTTGATAATATTGCTGCGTAGTTCTTTGCTGAACTCACACTTTTATAATAACTACTAACAAAACCAATTATTATAATTTTTTTTCCTATAAGAGAATAAATTATTACGATAAAACTAAGAAATTATATATATATATAGAGAGAGAGAGAGAGCGCATACCAACCGTGACAATGGTGAATGAGGCAACAGAGACAGTAACCACATTGGCTCTTCTTATTCTTGGTGGATTTTGTTAGGGTTTTTTGGAAGAAACATTTATTTAGGGTATGGGGGTGTGGGGTGTGTGCATTCAATGGGTAGAATGTTTTCACAATAATAATTTTGATATTATTTGAGAGATAAAATTTTTTTTAGAAATTTCAAAATTTATAAGTAAAAATTCAAAGAAATAGAAGATCAAAAATAGTTTATAAGGTACTAAAAGCACCATTATAACTTACAGTATCAACAAATTCTATTAAATAAGAGTGCTACTATTAGCACCTGTCAAAATTTTTTGGACCCCCAATTTTATAATTTTTTTTATTACAATTATACCCTAAAGTAAAATTACATTAAAAGACATTATGAAATGGAACACCCACCTATCAATAATAACTAATACTCTATAATATTGGACACCCACCCACATCCCCACCCCCACTTCCAACTCCAACTATACGTATTCCATGTTTGTAAACCCTAAACCTATTACTTTTCATAACCAATTAACATAAACCCTAAATCTTTTATTTTTCATAATCATCTTAAATCCTGAATGTGTCATCTTCATCACCATCATCAACGCTATTGAACTTGAAAGTTTTGCTTAAAGTATAACGTATATTTCATCACTTATTTCACTGTGTAGAGCAATGGAGGACGATGACAACATTCTCGATCGTTTATCTGTCTTGTATTAACATTCTCGGTCGTTTTCGGTCGTTCTTGTTTCGTTTGAACTGTTTGGTACTGGTTTGCTGACTGTTACAATTATGTTCGGTAACACAGTACTGAACATAATCTTTTCGTTGAATACATAAGTTCCGAACATTAATGCAGATAGTCAGTTATGTAATTTTCTTTGTTAAACTAACTTAGAATGGAAAAGAGTGAATTGGAATGAATTTAAGTTATGTATTTTGAATGGATTTAATTCATGTTATTTTAAGTTGTGAATTAGAATGGATTCAAGTTACACAGTGATAAATAAATTTTGTTCGGACATATAGTGCTGACAGGATCATTATTGTTCGACAAAACAATTCTGAACAAAATATATTTTTTTGGCTACACAGTGGTGAACAAATTGGGTGGGTGTGCTTTTCATTGTGAAAATATGAAGATTAGTTTTCTATTCTGAAAATATTATGGAGATTAGTTTTCCATATATATACATTGTTTTCTATTCATACAATTCGCATCAATCTTCACTTTCTCATCTGAATTTTCCGATCAATGGCAAATTCCAAAGAGACCCACGTCGTCGAAATCCTAATCGACGAAGAACACTAACCTCACAAGTAAATGCATTGTGTTTTCATGAACCACTTTTTAGATGTGGTTAATGTTGGAGAGAGCAGAGAGAGAAAAAATTAGGGTTTTGAAGGGATTTTGAGAGAGAGAGAAAAATCTTCACTTTCTCATATAAACAAAAAGTGTTTGAGAGAGTGAGAGAAAAGAGACATCACTGATGAGAGATAGAAGAGAGGGAATTGGAATGGATTCAGGTGGATGCGCATTTTATTGTGAATATGGGTAGATTTGGTAATAAGTGGAGTGTCTAAAAAAATATTATTAAAATTTAAGATTTAGGATTGAGGTCCAAAGAAATGAAGGCTCCAAAATTTTTTTTAATAGGTGTTAATAAGAGCACTCTTAAATATTTTGACAATAATTTTAAAAATAAAAGACATTAATGTAAGTATTGAAATCCCGTAATTGCCATAACCTCACGGCAAGTGTAAAACGAAAAAAGAAAACAAAAACAAGGAAACACATGACACTAAAGTCTACGAAGCGATTAAAAAAAGTAAAAACAACGAAAATTCCACCAAACAAACGATTCATCAAACACCACATACGCTCTGTCTCTCTCTCCAAAAAATCCCAAATTCAATATTAGATCCGATCTCTCACCTCTGCAATCACCGACGTCACAAACCCAAAAAGACTTGAAATTGAAAGAATGGAGTTTCAAGTGCTTGATTTGGGAGCTCTGAATTGAAATGCAGTCAAATTCATCTCCATCACCACCATTATTTCCGCCGAGTCCATTCTCATTCAATGGCGATTTGAGCGACGGGGGTTTCGAGGGAACTAGGGTTTTGTTCTTCGCTTCGTTGCTCTTCTTCCAAGGGGGCGGCATGGATTTCTCCAAGGTCGGAGAGAAGCTTCTCAGCTCAGTTCGCTCTGCCCGATCTCTCGGCCTCCTTCCTTCCACTTCCGATCGTCCCGAGGTAATTAATCCCTCATTATGCTTATTTTACATACATATTTACGTGGGTTTGTATTTTGCTACATGGGTTTCTCCAGTAATGTAGTTTTTTAGGTACCCAAATTGAGTTAATGAACTCACAGCTAGTGTTGAATTTTGATCAACATCATCAGTGTTGACTTGGGTTTCTATTTTGCATATCGATTAATAGACTAAATTGAGCTGGTGAACTTAGAGGGAATTATGCATCTAGTTAAAATTATTTATTTTTTACCTTGACTAGTGTTGATTTGAGGTTTGACTGAATTTTATTGGTTGGATTGGAAATTGGGTTTCTTTACCTACTCCTCGAAATTCATCAGCAGATTAGGTCGTTTGGGTACACTTTTGTTGCAGTTATGATAAGAGTGGTGTGCTTAGTAAAAATATGTGTGGCAACTCATGTGTTAGTATTACCTGCATCACTGTGTCTTGAGGTATTTCAAAAAAAATTACCACAATTAATTTTCTCAATTAGCACATAGTTGCATGTAACTTCTTTGAACATGTAGACTTGAGGGAGCAGCTATTAGAAAAGCGAAACAGATGTAAATGAAATGAGGTGTAATGTGATGAAAAGAATATAAATGGTTTTTTTTTTTTATCTTTTTTTTTTATAAGAACGGATATAAATGGCATTGAGGCCATTTATTGGGGCTACTTATAATTTTTATTTATTATGAGAATTTATGCCAAAGTATTCGGTGTACCTACTTACATTTTTAAATAAGCTGAAAGAGTTGATTATTGAAAAGTTGAGAGAATGATGCTTTTAGTTTCTTCGTTATGATGATTAGCTTTCAACTTACGAGAAGCTATACTAAACAGACCCCTTATAGGTAGAGACACAATGATGAAACCAATTTAGGAATTGGATTCCATGAGAGAGAAAATGCTGAAATTAGGGATAAAGAGCAGTTAGCTCAATAGATACAATCTCAAAATGTCACAAACTGATTATAATGAGCCTAAACTAAACCTCCTACTTGTAGACTAAAGACCCAACTAAGCACTTATGGTTAGCTCATGCACAACTGGCCATTCTAATAGACAACTAAATCTTATTACATCGCATTACTTGGAGGCTGGATTACAAGTTTTATTTTATTTGGTCGTGTGGTTGGAAGAGGGGATGAAAAGGGTCTGATTTCAAAATTGAAAATATTTTGATTGTCTTGAATAGTTATTGAGGACAACTTAGAAAACATGACCTTTGAATATTAAAATTTCATCTTTAAGGAGCCAAGACTAAGACTGATAAAATAAAGGGTGAATTACATGAACCTTTCTTGATGTTTAATATGATTATGTCACACCCCTATGTTTTGACAAAATTACATTGATCCACCCTATCAAAATTTGATGAAAACAACTCTAACAAAAGTAATGAATTTATTATATTATCCTTTCTATCTAAAATGACTTTTTCGCATAATAAATTCCTAAATTACTGATTTACTTCTTGAGTAAACTTGGTGATTCCATGCTGTCATCTCCCTTTACCCAAATGCACCATTATCATCCCCATGAATGATGATAAGTGAGAAACACCGCCACCCACACTTCGCGACCATAGCCTCACAAGACCATTGTCGCCCAATCTTTCAACTCTCTCTCTCTCTCTCTCTCTCTCTTCCGCTCTTCATCAAACCCAACCATCCGACATGACACCCATGCCACACGGCCGAAACAAAAACAACCAAACAACAAAACCATCTTTAGCAAGTGATCACACTATAACCATCACCAAACAATTACCATTGTTGTCTTCTACCACCATGCACCACTCACTACATCCTTGGACTTTGCCAATAATTTATTTTAGGAAACCAAAATGGTGTCTTATAGCTAACGATCTTATTTGCTTCAATCCATACCACCTTAAACATTGCAAAACACCCACATTTGCTAGAGCAAAATCCATCATTATAGTCATGGAATTGTCATGCCGTCTTCTCTCACCTAAAATTTTACATTGTTTCTTTAGAATTCTACAACTCTATGCATTTTTTTTTCCAAATTTTTAATTTACTCTCCATTTTAAAGATTGATATAGGTGTAGAAAGATTAAACTAAATTACTTGTGGAATGAGATTTTCATTTGCAATTTAAATATGGAGGTTGTGGATCTTCTAATTCTTAAAAGAAGTATGGGATTCTTAGAAACTATGTACAACTTTTGTATTGGTATGTATAACAACCCAAGTGAGTTGGTTAGGTGGATTCTTGGAGTTTCAACTCCAGAAGGTCCCACATGAAGTGGGCTTGATTCCAGCTCGAGCTTGAGCACCTTTTTATTTTCCAAAAAGCTCCAAATTGCCTTGCTCGATCAGCGCTCAAGCGGGCTCTAGGTTTGGATCAATTGTTGACCTAATTAGGTCTATAATTATTTTTTTATTATAAATTGATACCTGGTTTTCTTTGTAATATAAGGAAATGTACTTCGAAGGAGAGAAAATCTTAAGCTTTCAGGCTAGCCTTGTGATCTCTGAAACCATATTTTCTAAAACTATGAACTAGAGCCTTTTGGTGAAAAATTCATTAGTGAAATTATAGTTTATATTTTACGATAAAAACTCTGCACAAACACTTTGCATGAGATGCCCATCCATTGGTTGTTGAGTAATGGCGTTGTGAGGAGCGAGGAGTTCCTTGTAGCATTCTTTGGAGTTAGAGCCACAAGGAGTGGAGTGCAAGCATGGAGCTTGACGTAAAGGTTGCTTGAGTGAGGTTATTGGATTTGGGTTGCAAGTCCTTTTACCTTGAGTCTTGTAGTCTTGGGTTTGTTTGTGGTTTTTCTCTTGAAGAGAGTTTTCTTCAAGGTTATTCACGACAAAAATCGCATTCTTCTTTGTTAGTTTTGAGATTTACATGCAGTTGACCGATTGCATGAAAGATGGGAAATTCTAACATTATTGGATTTGGGTTGCAAGTCCTTTTACCTTGAGTCTTGTAGTCTTGGGTTTGTTTGTGGTTTTTCTCTTGAAGAGAGTTTTCTTCAAGGTTATTCACGACAAAAATCGCATTCTTCTTTGTTAGTTTTGAGATTTACATGCAGTTGACCGATTGCATGTCCACAATTTATAAACCAAATTAAAGGAATTAAAATTGGTTTTTAATTTGGCAACCTTCCTTATTAGTTTGGCCTCAAATAGGTCCTTCTCCACTATTTGTGAATGGTTATTGGAAATGCTGAGAATTTCTTTTTCTATAAATTTAGGAAAGTAATTAATTATTGGTTTTGGAGTCTGAAGGTTAGAGGTTAAAGGATAGGAAATGAGTTAAGGTTTTGGAGGTGCCCTAGATAAATTAGTTGCGGCAAGAGTGGCTAGCTCACTAGCTGATTGAGATTCCACAACTACTTCTTCAGGAAGAGCTGCAAAGGCAAAGTCTAGCACACCATGAGGAGGCAGAGGAAAAATCATACTGAAACAGCCATGGGTGAACTTGTGTCTAATCTTCTATCTTCCGTTGGTAATATTATCTAAAAACTAAATAAAATAGATGCTGGTTTGAATTTTAGTGGGTAGTGCCCTCTGATGCTCAAAATGACTTTTTTTTTTTTAATAAGCAATGCAATATGCTCATGATGAAATTAGTTTACTTATCAATAAAAACTACTTGTTTCCAAAAATGTGAGACCATTAAAATTATCCGCAATAAATACAGAAAAATACAGAAATTTGAACATAGTGTGATGCTCTAAGAATGTTCATAGAAGTGTCTATAGTGTCGCTAATGGTGAAATCACATGATTATCCTTCTTTTGTGCCACAAGTCTCTAAAGGTCGTTCATCAGTTATAGGCTTCTCAAATTTTCTCTTTGTTTAGACTTCTACATGTTGAATGAGAATCTTGAAATGGTATGGATCTCAACACCATTTTATGAATAAGGTTGAATTACACCATCAAGAGTAAGTGACCAACCAATTTACTTGTCAACTAAGAGATCATGCATTCAAGTTTATTGAGCTAGGCATATTCCTTATTTTTAACGAGGAGGTTGATGACTCTGCTTCCGAAAACGTACAACTTTTCTCATAACTCCTCCCATCTTCCTTGTTTTAGGAGAAAAAAAAAGAACAATTTGTAATTTGTATTTAGCTTTTTGGCTTGTATATATTCCATTGCTGTACTGTAATTTATTTATTTGATTCTGATTGACTTATCTATCTTGTAGGTTCCTGCACGAGCTGTAGCAGCAGCAGCTGTTGCTCGTGCTCTTGCTGGACTACCCCCTCATCAGAGGTATAGTCTTCCATCAAGCTCTGAAGAGTTGAGTTCGATATATGGAAGCAAGCCCCATGGTCAAGTAGTGGAGGAGCTTGAGGAAGAATTTTACGAAGAGGTTTTCCTTGCTCATGATTGTCAATTTGGTTTCAGCAAGTGGCATGCTTATGTCCTATACTGTCTTTTGATTTATTAATTTTTAGTTGATAAGATAGGTAATTGATTCACATGACAAAGTTCTTTTTAGTTATTGCAAAGAGTGCTAATGTTTTCTTTACCTAAAGGTGCCAGCTAGCTTACCTGGTAATGTTAATATCTCTTTGTAGTTGTACCAGGGACCTGGGATCCGATCCTGTTTTCATCTGGGTTGGGTGGGGTTATGGGTAGGCTCCTCCGGCAATACACAACAAAAAAAAGCATAGTCGCTGTTTTTACCTGTTTTAGTTCGCAATATGTTTAGCATTCTTCTTGTCAGCCACCTGTTTCAAAACTTCAAGAAATAAACCTCTTCTGTTCATAAGACCTTTGAATCCACAACATGGAATTATTATCATCAACAACATGCTTCACAGTCTCTTCGAAGACCTGAATTATCTGGAAATACCCCCTAATTAAAGTTTCTGTGATCAACCTAATTCAAGTGTTTTCACATTATTTCTGCTGCTTCATCTGAACATGAGCACTTTGCTTTGTGTCTATGGTTGTCTTGCCAGTTTAAATTCTGACATATTACTGAAAGCTGGTGGAATTTTATTGTATGCAGGAGTTTGATCCCGTAAGACATGTTCTAGAGCATATGCCGTCTGAAGAAAATGACGTAGCATATTTTGAGGAAAAGGTAATATTTGAATTTTTCTTTGTTGCATATTCTCCATGCTAGAGTTGACCATTGGTTCAATGGTAAAATCTTGGCTTAATAACCTTGAGGTTATGGGTTCAAGTCTTGGAGCAACCACTTTGTGTATTATGCCAAAGGTTAGGTGTGTACCCAATCTTTTCCCTTCCAAACACACATTAATGTGTACTAATTGGGTGCTGTTTTTGTTTTTGTTTTTGTTTTTTTTTTTTTTTTTTATATATTCTCCATTTTGAACACTTCTCTCTAACAATGGGACTTTTACATGTCCCATGGAAATCGGAGCCCTTTATGCTTTATATAGGATTTGAAACACCAGTCTGTTTCTTTTGTCATTTGTTTTATACTGGAGGGAGGCTCATGTTGTGTGTGCATCTCATCATATTTCCATGCACATTTATGCAGTTATTTGCCTGATCTGTTGTCAGTTGATTTTATAAATCATTACTTCTCTCGGACTTCTAGGTGCCAGCATGTTAGAAAAGACATGCCAAACAGTACCAATTAACCAAAGGGCTTTGCCATCATAGTTTTTAATAGATGATTCTTTTTCTTTTTTCGTGGTGAGTATGTTGATGCCTGTATTAAACTCCTGCCAAGTGCCAACTTGTGTACTAAATGTTATGCATCAAACAGTAGGGTGACTTAATTTTCTTTTAAGCCCAATCACACATTAGAATATCCGCTATATGCTGAAATCGTACACAATCTTGATTTAATACTTAAAGGATAAAGAAATGCTTAGTAGTTTGCTTGGTGCTATATATTGTTTACTGTTTCACTGGCTCAATATATATATATATATTTAAATTCTTTTCCATTGATGGTATGGCTAAGGTCATGAAGTACACAGCTTAAAATACAATATGCTACTTTTCCTAGATTTACATCAATCTGATTTTTATTGGCGCGCAGGATCACCTAAGGTGTACTAATTATTTATTGAGAGAAGGATTCACAAGGCATGTTTTGTGGCACCAGTTTTGCTTGTACTTATGCTTGTAGTCATGATTCATAAGATCTATGCACTTGTCAAATTTAGCTTGTACATTTAATATGGCACACAAAGTGTCCCCGGTGACAAGTAATTGAAGGGTGGGATTTTTTTCTCTTTTGGTGTTCATTGGTTAATTGAAAGATGTGCTTTTCCACCTTATGAGCTTGAATAGTTGATCTTTTTTTGGTATTCTTCTTTCACCCCTCCACTCTCCCATATGCTGTGTGGTTTCTTTCTTTTGTTTTTATTGGGGAATGATTGACTTAGAAGGTGGTTTTCTTTTGTAAGTGCTTATACTTGCACTACTTTATTTTTCCCACTATTTATAGATCAATCTTTTTCCATTCTTTTATAGGCCACTGTTAGATTAGCACAATTGGATAGCATAGCAGAACGTTTGTCCCGCCACGTTATGGAGCATCATGAAGAAATGGGTAAGTTTCTTGCCAAAGTTCACCCACCTTTATTTGATTGTTCTCTAAAATACTTTAATCTCTAGACTCTTGACATAAAATTATTTCACATTTCATGAAGTTATTAGCTCTATATATTGCTATTGATGTGTTCAATTTTTTAAAATTGTGTCTTAACTTGCTTAAAAAGTTCTATTTTATGTTTCCGATGTATATTAAACCCTTTGGCACTGCTTTTTGGTGAGAAAATATGATACTTTTCTACAATTATGTCATATCTAATATGGCACTAGCTTCTTATCACATTAATGTCATATTCAAGGAAAATTTTCATTTTGATGGATGATCACACATAAGGTCACTGTGTGAGGAATGTCATGCAACTGAACCACCTCTTTGGATTTAGTGCTTGCCACATTGAATGTGCCTACAGACTTGCAACAAAGAGGAAAATGGGCCGTTGAGGAAGTCTGTCTGCCCTGGCTGTACTAAAGTTCACTATTTGAGTTTGCCGGTATTTGTTTATGGTTAGGTAGGAACAAGAATTTTATTGTGCAGCTTGGTGCTTTACACTTCCCCTTTGGCTTGTGATGCACACTGCACACGACAATGTTAATTGTATAAAATGGAGTTATGGGTGCATGCTTGTGTCATAGCAGCATGCGGCCCATGTAGTTTGTACCAGCTCTTCTTTTAGTGAAGACTGAAGATCAACTACTAAGAAAGATTCTGTTACGAGCATTTAATCCTATGCTGCCTGGGCCGTTGTTGCTACAAATTTTGGAGAAAGGAAAGCGATCTTCCAAAAGTATTGACTTACCCTTGATGTAGCTTAAATTTTTGGTTTTATTTTGTTTATTTATTTAGACGATTGGAAGAGTTTTTATTTTCCATTATTGCGTAGTTGGATGGGGATCCACATCAACTTAAAGTGGTCACATTCTTGTCAGTAGTCACATCAACACTAAGTATCATGACGAGATGAGTATGATGTCTTGAGACATGAGCAAGGGGATGCCTTGGTTGGGCCTTAGATTAGAGAATACCCAAGTCTGAGACATGAGAAGGCTTCCTTTTAGCTGATTTAGAAGTGTGTGATGTCTGTTCTCTCCCTCCCTCACAGCTTATTCTTCTTCCTTTTTTTTACTGGTGTCAGTGGGAATTGAACCTTGGCGTCACTACACAATAGCTCTCATATTACCCTTCAACTTTGATTTGAAAGCAGTGGGCTATTTTGGGCAATTTTTTTAAAACAATAATTCTAAGGACACAGAACCCACCACCAGAAAATACACTTGTAATGATGTGAGTGGAGCAATCTTTAGTGGTGGACCTCATGATCTGATGTGTTTGGTCAGGATTATTTTATGTGGTAGTTTCAGTGTCCGTAGAATTATTGTTTTTAAAATTATACATATAATTTTGAATTAAAATAATTCTCTGTTTGTGGTATGAGAGTTACTGAACCTTCTATCTGATGATAATGAACTAATGGATAATTTTTGAATAATTTAATGGGCAAGTTCAGACACTGGTGTATGGGGATCCAAAGTTGGGGAAATTCTAAGGGGACAGTCCCCTCTCTTTTCTTTTTTTGATCAGCAACAAAGGAAATTTTTATAGATAAAGAAGGTCATAATGAGGACAAGGAGTCCTCTCAACATGAAGATAAACAACAAGAAACCTATCAGAAGAGAAACAAACTATGCATCATAAATAGCTCTCCAATCCCTCTCATCTTTGTCAAACCTGGAGGAATGGGCATTCTGCTTTTCTTGTCTTTTCTTCCTCCCCAACCTACCTAACCCACCCACCCACCAGCTGCTCCTTGTTTCATTTATCATTTTATTTTAAAGCAACATAGGTTTTTACTTTTTCCATCATCATGGAATGTGTTGAAACAAAAATAAACAAAATTTAATTGCTGGGAAAGTGAAAAAGCAGCAGACGCTGAATAGTAATAGTCATTTGCAGCAACAGTTAGATGTGGAATTTCCCTCATACGTATAACAAGATAGCGAATGGGTTTCTCCTCTTTTTCCCTACACATTTGATGCAATTATTTTTCTTTATTTCAAGGACTTAAGCTTAGTATCCCACATTCACAATCATTTTTGGTATCACAGAGGAAGCAATTGATTCATATTGCAATTTAAACGAAGTTTGCTCTAATGCCATGTTCTGTATCATGGTGGAAGAGAAGACATGGAAAAAGAACATAGAGGCAGCAAATTATTGAGAAAAGTCGGGGGGAAATCCACGTAGGGCCACCTACTCTTTTCTCGTGTATTATTTTTTATTTTTATTAATTTTTTTCTTTTTGGTTATAATGGGTGGGCTGACCCGTTTTTGAGTTGAAAAAAATCCTTATGGATGCACTAATTCTCCTTAAACCACATGTATCGGGTCCCCTTTCCATTGGTTTCAATTTAGTGATGGTAACTACCATAGTACCATGCCATTCTGACAATGTTATTATAGAGCCAATGTGTTCTTTTGCCATGACGATATCTGTTGAAATATGGTGTCAGTGCACTATGCACCTTGTGATGGGAAGAGCTCATCTTCTACGTGTCGCTGCGTTATTTTGATTAATCCCTTTGGAAATGTAGATGATGATGAGCTTGGCATTTATGTAAATCAAGCAGTATTGATACTTTTTTATAGTAATTAATGCTGTTATGTTGCTTGAGGTAAAGAAGTGTTAACAGTCTTACTTTATAAAGATGTGTCTTCCAAAATGTGTCATCTCTAAATTAGGTAATAATACTTGTTTTTGGTCAGTGAAGGGGATGCATTTGGTGAGGGAATTGGAGAAAGACTTGAAGGTGGCTAATGTCATTTGCATGGTAAGCAGGTGATGGTATTGCAGATAAATGTCTTAACCAGCTTAGCTCAAATTTGCTTATAACATGGTGAAGTCATTCAGTTGATTACACAACTGAAGGTTTTTTAATTATCCTACTGTGGTTTGTCATCGTAAGGATGATATTTATTATTTATTAATCAATCAATATGTTACATCACAAAGTTATGGCTTTCATCACTGCTGTTCATTTGGTATTGCAGAATGGGAGAAGGCATCTAACCTCATCAAGGAATGAGGTATCAAGGGATCTCATCGTCACAACAAGTTCCAAAAAGAAGCAAGTTCTTCTGGTATTTCCTGTTTTTCCCCCTAGACATTATAACAAAATCAATCTTAAATATTTCTTCCTTTTGCCTTTTGCCTTTTGTTTTTTTAACCATAAGTGGAGGCTTGTTCTCAAAGAAGATATTGATATTGAGGTCCCTACTTTTGCAAATTTTGCTAGATGTAATTTTCTATTTTCCAATTCTTGTCCTTTGACTTCAGTTGTTTAGGTGGAAATGGTTCCATTGGAAACTATCAAATTGACTATTTGTTGCACTACACAGTTTCTGCCTTTTCAAATCTTTCCTGTATGATTAGATTATATTTTTGAGCTGCCTTCATACAATCTTTCCGTAAATTATATTTACTCTTATTTGTGTTCGAATTGAAAAATGTTGTTCTTCCATAATTGAATGTGATACTTTCATCTGGCTGTGGTCCAGTATTTTCCGACAATTGCTGGTGTAACAATGTTTAAGACTTTGTATTGTCCTCCTGGTAATTCTGCAATTGCTCAAAAAATGCAAGATGCTTCCATCCTTCTTGCATCTGAATTTCAGGGGAGAGTGTTGTTTGATTCAGGGTACATTTCAGGTTGTCCTTCTACCCTGAAAGATTAGTCTTGGATGGAAATGATGCAAGTTCTTGAACTAATCACACATGCTAAAGTGCCATGAATTTTATAATCCATAGCTTTGCAAGCTTGTAGCATCTAGAGATGAATCCCTTCAGAGTAAACAACTTTAGTACTTAGTACTACTATAAGCTTGTTTGGTTTGGATTTTCAGGATTCACTTTTCAAAAAAGTTGAAATTTTTTGTTTTCCGTGTTTTTTTGTTTTCACTATTTTTTTTTAATATTCTAAGCAATTTTTTTTTTAGATACACCTAACATAAATACACTTAAAAAGTATAATATTTGTGAAAAAAATCTTTAGAAAATTCACTAAATACCAAAAATACAAAAAAAAAAGAAGAGAATTCAGTCCATTTTTCGTATTTTTGTGTATTTATTGATTTTTTAAAATATTTTTTTACAAATATTTTACTTTTTATATATATCTAAGTAATGTGCATCTAAAAAAGTAAAAAAAACTGCTTAAAATTTTAAAAATATTCACTAAAAACAAAAAAATACGAAAAATAAAAAATTCAATTTGAATTCAAAAAATTGAAACCAAACACACTGATGTTTTTATGAACAAGCCTTTTCTTCCGTCTTTCTTCTAAATGCGATCTTCTCACAACTATTAAATGGAAGTGCAGGTTAGTTTGTCAGTGATTAGTGTTGCTCATGATGTTGCTCAAATTAGGTTGTTTTGAATGCCTTAGAACCTTCTTTACAGTTAATTGATCATGCTTTACAGTGTGAATGGGTGATCTGATAAAATTGTTTATTTATTCCCTGAAACAAATGTTGTGACTGGCAGGACATGCTTCCAATTTTAACGGAACTTCGTCATGCATTGGACATGCAAGTAGCGCTTGAAAACCATGTTGAGGAAGGAAACTTCTTTAAGGTTGGATGTCGGTTTTGGTGTTATTTTGTGGAATATTGCACTTTAACTCTCCAATTCTTTACTTAGTTTGCATGTATTTTATTGGTAATGTGCATGTCTCATAATTTCCTTTTTCCTTTTTCCTTTTCCCGTTTTCTTTACCAAATACTTAATGTATTGTGCAGGCATTCCAAGTCCTATCCGAGTATTTGCAGCTTTTAGATAGTTTTTCTGAGCTTTCGGCCATACAAGAGATGAGCCATGGTGTTGAGGTGAAAATTGAGTACCTACTACGAAACTATTTGAAGTAAAAAATCATTTATGTTTGCCTTCTCCTATTTTGGATTATGTCTTTCCTGTGGTATATGTAGGCTTCGTTTAAGCTTTCTCTTGAGAACCATTTGGCCATGGGATGATAGGACGAACATTTGTTATTTCATAGTTCATATGCAAAAGTTGTTAATGTTTTGGGTCTCGTAATATCCTTGCAGGTTTGGCTGGGAAAAACTCTTCAAAAGCTGGATTCACTTTTATTAGGGGTGTGCCAAGATTTCAAAGAGGATGGCTATATAACTGTCAGTACACCAGCCTCTTGCTTCGTATTGGATCATTATTTTCATAGTCAAGTGTAATGCTATATTATACTTGAATGTAGTGCACAGAAGTCTACTTCTCCCATCTCCTTCTCATGTTGTCGCTTTCCAAAATGGATATTTCTGTTTATCATATCTCTTGGACATGGGCCAATATGGAACATGTATGGTGATTTAACTGCATCATCTGGTATTGTTATTGAGATGTTCAACTTGTCGGCCTGTATAATGATCCGTATACTTTATATCAACCAGAAGATGCTTGGTCTTGTCAATTTTATTTCTTGGGGAAATTGGTTACAATTCTCAATTCTTTCTTTGCTTTTATACTCTGTTTGCCACATGTTGGTCTTTTTATTTTTGATTTTTTGGATTTTGCATCAGGAATGCAATTTCTGCTTCAATCATTCTAGGTTAAAATTCTTTTGGTTTTACTTTTTTTGGAATATTTTATTGTTCATATCAGTATTCAGTACTAGATATCATTAATCAATAGTCAAAACTGGGTATTATTAAATAATTGTTACAATTCTTTTCTTATAGTAATTATTGATTGGAGATTAATCATTGTTGCAATGTTTGATGTGTTCTGCTCTCTCTGACATCTTTTTATGCATTCATTACGTGGTTGGTTTTTTTCAATGGACTTGTTACCAGCATGGACACTTCCAAGGCGCATGTCCATGTCCAACACCAATGCTCATCGGACACTTCTTGACATGTGTTGGGCATATAGCCAAATGTGTTATATTATTATTTTTTATTAGTTTTAGACCAAGACACACTTCTGATGCATGGGGGACACACATGTCCATTGCTTACACACACACACGAAACACAGTATAAGTAACTTAGCCAATACAATGGTAAAAAGAAAAAAGAAAGTAACAATTTATACCTATTAATCCTCTTCCCTTAAACTTTAGAATAAAGTGTTGTGTTACAATTTTTATTATCTTTGAATGAAATATTCATATATATGACATATAATAAATATATAAAACCATATATTTAGTGCATGTCCCTCATGTGTCGTGTCTTACATTTTTTGAAAATTGATGTGTTGGTGTGTTCTTGCTTCTTAGATTGTAATGCATTTGTTGTTCAGCATTCTTGTTGTTTTCATTTTTTTCTTGATACGAGTGTTTCAATGCTTTATAGGTGGTTGATGCTTATGCGTTGATTGGGGATGTTTCTGGTCTTGCTGAAAAGATACAAAGCTTCTTTATGCAGGAGGTTCTCTCAGTAACCCATTCTGTCTTGAAAAATATTTTGCAGGAGGTATGCTGCTGCATTCTATTATCAATTGAATTCATTACTGAAGCAGCTGGAGATAAACAAAGTGAAAAGAAACAAGATACTTGCATATCATTGTGTTTGTGTGTTGGTTTGGACTTCTTCGGATAATGGTGGATAATTAAATAATGGTGGATAATTAAATAATGGTGGATAATTAAATAATGGTGGATAATTAAATAATGGTGGATAATTAAATAATGGTGGATAATTAAATAATGGTGGATAATTAAATAATGGTGGATAATTAAATAATGGTGGATAATTAAATAATGGTGGATAATTAAATAATGGTGGATAATTAAATAATGGTGGATAATTAAATAATGGTTGAATGACACACACACACACGCAGACACTTTTTCATTGAACGACATTCTCACTGAGATACTATTTAAATTTGGCAGGACCTGGAACCTTCCAATATGCAAAGTAGTAGGTATTACTTTTATGTTTCTGCATACATTGTTTGGTTTTAGCATAAACCATGCTGGTTCTGATTTAGTTTTTAAATATCTTCCAGTTCCAGACTTACCTACAGTGATCTATGCCATCAAATACCTGAATCCAAGTTTAGGCAATGTTTATTGACAACACTAGCTGCCCTTTTTAAGTTGATGAGTTCATATCAAGTAGTCATGAGCTTTCAACTAGCGGATAAGGTAAAAACTATCGTCATCACTGTATTATGGGTCATTTGGTGTTAATTACTCTGTTTATATTGTAGATTGTGATTATATATATACATTTCTACTTTGTCTACAAATTTTAAAATTCTCTTACTAAATCATTTGTTATCATTGGTACATATCAGTTCACTGTCTGTGCTGATTCAACTGATATTAAACATTTTCTAGCTATTGCTGCTTGTGAAATTTGGTGCTGTAATTGATCTGTATCATATCAGTCATGCTAGGAACACAGAGTTTTGTGTCCCATTCCGTGTTTGGTTTCTGTTCACATAGACTTACTCGTATCATATAATTAGTTTTGGATGTTTACTTTAAAAATCAGATCTATATAATTTGTTTTGCAACTTTTGTATGCTAAAATAGAACTAACCTTAATATTTTTCTTCAAGTAAAAGGATTTACTCTACAATTTCAGGCAGAGCATGTTAACAAGGGGAGAATTAGGTTTAAATAGGACATTCTTTATACTTGAATAAAAGAATCTTGAATAAAAAAAAAGAATAAAAGAATCAAAAATATTTTTTCATTTTTTATGTTTTTGATAAACATAAAGATTAATAAAAGACACAATCTAGTTTCATAAAAGGGGATAAATTATTGAAATTGAAACCATAAAATGCAGCAAAAAAAAAAGGAAGTACTAATATATCTTTGCTTTCTCCAAGAAGTAGCAGATGAGAGGAAGTAGATGAAGAGTAGGTAAGAGAAGAGCTAAGCTAATCTTAATCTTAAGGTTGCTGATTATTAAAGTTTAGCTTGCTGATTGTTTTACTTATGTTGTTATTTTACTTGTGCCAAAATGTCAATATCAACGTTATGTTCTGCTGCTAAAAAAAAGTGATATTGTCCTATCTTGGTTTTACTAGAATGGAGCTGTTTGAGTTTGACATTATTTTGACGACTTCTTCACATTCATCTTTATTTCTTGCACTCAGTTTCCTCGTCTGTGGATGGATGTTGTTGAATGTTTTGAATGTATAGATTAGAAGAAGTTGTAGAGAGAGAGAGAAAGAAACGCTGCTGTATATAATATTGATTCAAAAACTTAGTGTTTTCCCCTTACACACAACTATTTATAATAATAAGAATAAGACATAAAGACCAAACTACCCTTAACACTTACACTCCCTCTCAAGTTGGTGCAAAGATGTTTCTTATGCCTAATTTGCAACAAATGGGGTGAAAGACCTTACTACTAACACCCTTAGTAAAAACATCCGTCGGTTGATCTTTAGACTTAACAAAAGGCATACATATCACACCCTTATTCAACTTCTCCTTAATGAAATGTTTGTCAATCTCAATATGCTTAATCCGGTCGTGTTGAACAGGATTGTGTGCAATACTAATAGCAACCTTGTTGTCGCAATACAAAGTCATGGGGATCACTACAATCAAGCCCTATATCACTAAACAAAGATTGAAGCCACATTAGTTCACATGTTCCATGTGCTATAATTCTATATTCAACTTCAGCACTAGATCTGGATACTACCTCCTGCTTCTCACTATGTCATGTGACTAGATTGCCCCCTACAAAAGCACAATAACTGGAGGTAGAGCGTTTGTCACCTATAGAGCCTGCCCAATCTGCATCTGTGAATGCTTCCAAACTCAAGTGACCATGTTAGAGAACAAAATTCCTTTTCCAGGGCAGATTTGAGGTACCTCAAAATGCGATAGACTATATCCAAATGAGTTGTACGAGGATCATGCATAAATTGACTCATTATCCCAACTGCATAAGTAATATCTGGATGAGTATGAGATAGATATATCAGTCTTCCCGCAAGTCTTTGGTACCTTTCCTTCTCTACAAGCTCACCAACCCCACTACAAAGATGATGATTGGTCCTAATCGGTGAATCAACTCGTCTATATCCCAATATGCCCGTTTTCTCAAGAAGATCTAGAATGTATTTCTTTTGAGAAATAAAGATGCCTTTATCAGATTTGGCAACTTCAATCCCAAGAAAGTACCTCAATGAACTAAGGTCTTTGATCTCAAACTCTTTGGCTAACTGCATCTTGAGATGGGTCACCTCCTTCTCATCATTACCTATTACAACTATGTCATCCACATATACAATAAGCACTGTTACCTTATGTACATTGCGTTTGACAAACAAGGTGTGATCTGCATTGCTTTGCTTATACCTAAACCAAACCAAAGTCAATGAAATTGTTTCAGACCATACACAGCCTTCTTCAATCTACAAACCTTTCCAACTGTAGATTGAGATGAGGATCCTAGAGGTACATCCATATATACTTCCCCCTTCAAGTCCCCATGTAGAAAGGCATTATTCACATCTAGTTGCTGTAAAGGCCATCCCAAATTAGCAGCACACAAAAGAATAGCTCGAATGGAATTCATCTCACTGCAGGGGCAAAAGTTTCTTGACATTCTATTCCATATGTCTGGGTAAATCCTTTGGCCACTAGTCTTGCTTTGTACTGTTCAATCGTCCCATCTGCATTGTGCTTAACACCTATTTACATCCGACTGGTTTTTTTCCATTAGGAAGAGACACCAACTCCCAAGTGTTATTTTTACTCAAAGCTTTCTTCTTGTCTACCATAGCTACCTTCCACTTAGGATTGTTGATAGCTTCTTTCCAACCCTGCGGAATACACACAGAAGAAAGAGATGAAACAAAGGCACAATATGTAGAAGACAACGAATCATATGACACAAATTTAGAAATGGGGTGTCCAGTACAGGCTCTAACACCCTTTCTAAGAGCAATAGGAAGACTCAAATCATCAGCAACAGGGCTATCAACAACTGGTGAAGGAGACACAGGACTATCAACAACTGGTGGAGAAATAGGCTGGGGATCATTACTTGTAGAGTCAGTGGAAAGTAGGTGTTCAACTGGCATGAGAGATGATGGTTGACCTGGTGATACAAGAAAAGTCTGCTCTTTCAAACGTCTTGAATAAGTCTTAAGATCAGCTCTGTCCAAACGACCATCGATATCAAACGACTCATCAACAGAACTCTTAGGCTCCCCCTCACCACAAATAACAGCTCGCTGATTAGGAAGGGAAAAAAACAACTCATGCTGATATGATGCCTCCTCATCCGCAATTTCATCCATAACACTCCTTCGGAGGAGATAGCGGAGGACAAGGAAAAAAAGACTCAAATTCACGGAGGTGACATCCATACTAACATAAAGCTTACGAGTGTGAGGGTTATAGCATTTGTAGCTCTTTTGAGTAACAGAATAACCAAGAAAGACACACCGGACAGTCTTAGGATAAAGCTTTCCACGAGTGCGAGGTTGAAGATGAACAAAATAGACACTACCAAAAACCCGAGGTGGAAGGGAAGAAGTGGGATAAGTCACAGGAAGAAGTTCAAGAGGAATTTGGAAGTTGAGGACACTAGAGGGCATACGGTTAATAAGGTAAGCAACGGTAAGAACAACATCCTTCCAAAAAGACTTGGGAACTTTCATGGTAAATAAGAAAGAGCGAGCAACTTCAAGGAAGTGGCCATTTTTGCGTTCAGCCACTCCATTTTGTTTAGGAGTGCCAACACAACTAGTCTGATAAAGAATGTCATGCTCCTCGAGATATGTCCTGAAAGCTCCATCAACATATTCCGTCCCATTATCACTCTGAAGAATTTTGATAGTCGCATTGAAGAGATTAGACACCATCTATGAAAAATTTTGAAGCACGAGAAAACTTCGTTTCTAGTTCAAAGTAAATAAATCCAAGTCACATGAGAATAACAATCAATAAACATGACAAATCACCGATAACCAAAAGCAGAAACCATAGGGGAAGGACCCCACTCATCGGTATGAATAAGCATAAAAGGAAAAGCATTTCTTTTATTAATTAAAGGATAACAAGTACATTTATGCTTAGCAAGCTCACAAGCATCACAAACAAAGTTATTCTTAGGACAATTTTGAACTAATGAAGGAAAAAGTTTCGCTAAAATACTAAGGAAGTGTAGAAATTTTAATGTATAAAGAGAAATAGAGAATTGTATAGATATTGATTGTATTATTGATTGATATAATGTTATATTTATTACAATGATTCATGATTCCTATATATAGAAGAGGGTGAGTGTGTAGTAGGTAAGAGGAGTCGGAAGTGCATTGAAGAGCTTGAGAGGCCAAAGTTGATGCATGACGAACGGTATCCAGAAAGTGTAGTCCACTTTATGTTCTACCACTACCAATCATTTTCCCGGTAGCCAGTTCTTGAAAGACACAATGAGTCGGAAAAAAGGTTACAGAGCAATTGAGAGCAGTAGTAATGCTACTAACAGAAAGTAAGTTAGTGGAAAAATTAGGAACATGAAGAATAGATGAAAGAGAAAGTAAAGAGGTGCAATGAACTAAACCCTTGTCGGAGATAGAGGATAAAGTATCATCAACCACTCTTAACTTTATCTCGCCTAGAACCAGGTGAATAAGAATGAAAAAGACTAGAAGTACCCGTCATGTGATCGGTAGCACTAGAATCAATGATCCAAGGCGACGATGATGAGGTACTAAGTGCACTAGCAGAAATACCTGTGTAGGCAAAGTTGGAAGAGGCAGAAGAGGAAGGAGCTAAGGTAGAGGAAAAATCAAGTCGAGCCATCAAATGCCTGAGAGTGTGAAGCTCATCCTGGAAAATAGAACCAGTGTTACCCGAGGCACGAGCAGTAGTCTCAGAAACATGTGCTTGAGGACGAACACTATGACCACAGCCTTGAGTAGGCCGACCATGGAACTTCCAACAGTGCTCTTTATCATGTTTATCTTTCCCACAATAATCACACTTTAATCGGTCCTGATCAACCAAGGGACCCTTACCACCACCCTGAGGCAGACTAGGCTGAGTATCACGTGACTTTGGGGTTGCAACCATCGCTAACTGATCTTGAATAGGGACAAGCACCATACCACTACGACGACTCTCTTTTTGCTGAACCAGGGCATAAGTCTCACGCAATGTGGGAAACGGAGAGCAACCCAACACCTGAACCTGTATATGATCATACTCCAAATTCAGGCCAGCAAGAAAGTCATACATCCGCTCTTTCTCCACAGCCTGTTGAAACATAGTGGCATCCGTGGAGCAAACTGGCTGGAAACCCTAGTAGTAATCTAGCTTCTGCCATAAACCACTCAACTCAGCATAGTAGACTGCAAGAGAATGATCCTTTTGATCCAAGTTACTAATCTTCTTTCTCCATTCATAGGCCTGTGCATCATTACCCTTTTGAGAATACATTTGAGATGCGGCTATCCAGATCTTGTGAGCAGTATCCATCAAAAGAAAAGTCTGACTACTGGTAGACTCCAGGGAATTGATCAGCCAGGTCATAAGCATTCTCAGAAATCCATTGAGCAGATAAAGCACCATCTTCAGTAGATTGCTTGGTACTACCAGTAATATAGCCAGTCAAACGCCGGGTGGCAATGGCAAGGTTACAGGAGTGGGACCAAATCAAGTAATTGGTACCATTAAGCTTGACCAGACTAATCTGGAGAAAAGGACTGTCACCAAGAGTCATTCTACGGCTTAGTCCACTCTCTTCCTTGCCCTTAGAGTCCTGACCCTCGCTTTTAGCCATGAGATGAGAGAAAGATGGTGAAGAAACACAAGCAGGATATCAAACAAGTCCTAAAAACACCTAACCAGCACAGCAACTCACCTTCTAAGGCTGGAACAGTGCAAGATAATCCCAGAACAAAGCAAACAAATCAATTAGGAGCCCGAAAACCGAAGCAGACCATCCAAAACTCAGAAAAAAATCCAAGGTAGGGCCAAAATACATCAAAACTGGGACAACAAAACCTCTAGGGTTCCAATCAGCTCCCCAAGATGTGAGGGAAAGGGAAAAAACCAACCGAAAAGAGCTCAAACAATGACTTTCGAAAAATCACCCAGTTTGGACGAAAAATCAAAAAATTTTGGAAAAAACAATCAATAATAAGCAAAAAATCAAAAGAAGATGATAGGGTATATACCCATTAGATTTCGAGCATAGTGCAAATTTTTTTTTTTTTTTTTTTTTTTTTTACAATTGATATGTGTACCAGGATACAAGAAACAAGGAGGGAAGAATGAATGGAACATCTTCGAGGAGGAAGATATTGCTCTGATACCATGTTGAATGTATTGAATGTATAGATGAGAAGAAGAAGTTGTAGAATGAGAGAGAGAGAGAGAGAAACGGCTACTGTATATGATATTGATTCAAAAACTTTGGGTTCCCCCCTTACACATAACTATTTATAATAATAAGAATAAGACATAAAGACCAAACTACCCCTAACACTTAACAGATGTGTAGTCCTAAACACTTATCAATTGTTAGGTTTATTTTAAAAAATTGTTATTTTTTATTTATTTTTCTTGTACCCACATTAATTTGATTGTGCTTTTGAGATATATTTGTCCATAGGGAAAGGGAAATGAGAACATTCCCTATCCATTTAAAACAAGATGGACGGTATGTATGTGGAAACTTTCCCCGAGTGTTGTGTACTTAAAATAACTAAGAATCTTGGAAGTTTTTATTTATCAAGAATCCCACAGACCACAGAATATCGTAGTTTTTATTTATTTATTATTTTTTATATGGGTTTTTATATATTTTTTTCAGGTTTCAGCATGCCATGCTCCACACATAAAGCAGAAGCAACGTGATGTTCCTGGTGTTTCTGGGGATGTTCAGCATGTTGATACAGTAAAAGGAAATTCTTATAGTTCAAATGAAGACAATGGTTTGCTCTCTGAGTCTATGGACAGATTACATACAACAGCTACCACCTCTTCAATTAATGCTACTGAAACTAATGGTTCCATGTGTATAAACTCTTCTGATTCAGTTGATGAGTCAAGGAATGGTGGGAGTGAAGCATCAAGTAGTGGGTCTCCATGGTTTCAACTGAGGAAAGATGCTACGGTATTTGTTTCGCAGACCTTACAGAGAGGTCGCAAAAATCTTTGGCAGCTCACAACAAGCCGTGTATCAGTGTTGCTTTCTTCTGCTGCTGTTTCTTCATCCAGCATTCATCAATTTTTGATAAATTATGAAGACCTGAACATCTTCATCTTGGCTGGGGAAGCTTTTTGTGGAGCTAAAGCAGTTGAGTTCAGGCAGAAAGTGAAGGCTGTGTGCGAAAACTATTTGGTTGCTTTTCATCGGCAAAATATATATGTAAGTCCGCATTGTTTTCATGTTATTTATATGTAAGTTCTTAGTTTATATTTTGTTGAAATAAATTATCTGCTGTTTTTGCAAGCACGGTTTGTTGTTTCAGTTCACTTTAGTAAAAAATGTTTCTATTCCACTTCAATTATTTTTTTAAAATTTCCTTTTTATTTTTTGTGTTTTTTATTTTCAGGTAAATAATATTTTTGTAGAGCTCATACTCTCTGGAATTTGTCTGCATTTATATAACGTGTATATACATTTATATATATACATATTCACGTTTGCATGGGTTCATAAATTTTAGGGTAAATTACGTTGACCTCCCCTAAGGTTTTGAGAAATTACAATAAGCCTTGCAGCTTTGGCATAATTACATTGGATTCCCTTAAGGTTTTAATTCACATAACACTTAGCCTTTTTTTCATCAATAATTCATTAGTCATACGGATGGAAAAATGATGTTGTCATCTCCGTTACACTAAAATGTATATTTTTCTTTGTTTATCCTTGTGTCTTTAGATAAGGTTTTTGATTCAAAGGAAATAGATAATGCAGGAGATGAGAAGTAGAAAGATGACAATATCCATTAAAAGGAAGAAAGAATGAGAGAAATGATAGCAAGATTGGTGTGCAATTTAACTCATTTTATATCCATTGCTATGCTATCAAAAGATGTTTTTGGGTAATGCTTTATTGATTTACTGATGCCTCACTTTGTCTTGTTGAATAATGCAGATTTTTTTTTTTTTTTAATGGCAGTATCATTACACTATGCTAATGTAACAATATGACTCAGTACAAGGACCAATCACATTTTAAAACCTGTTTTTACACTTCCATCTTGCATTTTGTCTCTTATAATGATATTAGATGGTACTTAACAACCTTTATCACATTTTCTATTTTTAATTGTAGTAAAAATAGAAAACAGTTCATAAATTAATTCTAAATATGAACAGAAGTTTATTGTAAATGAATGCCTCTAGCAAAATTAAGCAACAAAAAATGGTTAGTACCTCATTGTTGCCTAAAATAGATGAAGATCGTGTGTATAAATACCAAAAGTAATAAATGAAAAGAAAATGGAAATATATGCAAAACAGTGTCGAACTCTTGAAAAATGAAAAGAAAAAAAAAAAAATAGTCATGAATTATAGAATCCAACCATACACAAAATGCCAACATTCAATCGCTCCAAGATTCAGAGGGATAAGTATAAAATTGATATGATGAACTATGGCTAAAAGTACGAAGAAATGGTGCTAGCTTTTAAAGTGTATCCCTATTGCGACACATACTTAAAAGTTTTAGGTTGAATGGATTACAAGCTCCCTCTCCTAAGTCAAGTGTTGAGTTGAGCTTTGGAGGCGCTCTTTAATTCAATTAGGGCTTCCTCTATTAGATCAATGCCAATCAGTTTTATGATTTCATTTGTTGAACTTTTACCTTGAACAATTTTTTAGCCCTAGTTAGTTTAAATTAGTCTTTTACTTTGCTTCACACACTTTATATTCCATGTGCTCATTCATCTACGAATGTGAATTGGTGTGGGTTTTGGTTGGTGACTCCCTAAGCACTTCACGTCCATGAACTCAAAGCAATATCCATTTACCCTTCTATCCACATTGGTATAATTTTTTCTGATCCCGTTCATTACTTTTCCTGCTTCCTCCCTCTCTTTTTATTTTTATTTTTAATATATACATTGTGTTGCATACTCTTATAATTTATTTATTTTTTTTAAATCCATCAATTTTCAATTCCAGTACACTTGTTTGTCTGTTGACTTGTGACAATATCTTTTTCAATGTTATGATTGCTTACATTGTTTAATCTTCTTTTGCCAGTTTTGTTTATACCTCGTGCTGCATTGAATAGCAGTCAGAATGCATTTATAAAATGACTAATCAAACTTTTAATTTCCAGGCACTGAAAATGGTTCTGGAAAAGGAGAATTGGCTAAAATTACCTCCAGAAACAATACAAGTTGTAAGTTTTGCTGGGCTTGTTGGTGATGGAGCAGCCCTGATTGTTCCATCTGAACGTAACTCTTCTAATAAAAGGGTGCTGCATTCCAATAAATCAGCAGATTCAGTTGAAACTGGTCCTAAGAAGAGTGGATTTTCCTATTGGCTTAAAAGCGGAAACCCATTTTTGGTGAAACTAAGTTCCAAAGAATACCATGATTCCTTTTCACTAAATGGGTCTAACTCTGGAGAATCTGATGGAAAAATTAATGAGAATTCTCAAAGTGACAAGTTTTCTCCAAAAACCAATGATGCAAATCATGTAAATGGTAGTAATTCTGTCTCGGAAGATGAAAATGAAGATCTTCATGCAGACTTCATTGATGAAGATAGTCAACTCCCAAGTCGGATTTCTAAGCCCAATCATTCAAGAAATAATTCTTCTCATTGCAATGATGAAGAAATGACCGCACAAACAGGATCATCACTCTGTCTTCTAAGGTGAAATTAACGGTTTCACAATTGTCGACATTATAATATTAAATATGTCCATAGATGCAGTGAACTGAATTTGGTTTTTCGATAGGTTGATGGATAAATATGCAAGGCTTATGCAGAAACTGGAGATAGTCAATGTTGAGTTTTTTAAGGTAAACTGGTAGCTCCTAGCCTTTTTTCCCCTTGATTTCTTCTGCCTATCTGTATGTTGTTCCAATCTTAAAGATGCTCTCTGTTCTGCTGTACTTCTGTCTGACTCTGTCAGTTCTTACAGGGAATTTATCAGTTGTTTGGGATTTTTTTCCATTTTGTTTTTGAGACATTTGGTCAGCAGAACACTTTCCCTAGTGGAAAGGGCTTGGGTGACTCGCTTAGTTGTAAGTATTCCTCCCTCCCTCCCCTCTCTCTCTCTCTCTCTCTCTCTCTCAGGTTTATTTTATTTTATTTTTCATTTTTTAGTCTTTTTTTTTTTAATTTTCTTTTTTGGTTCTTTGTCTTTTATTTCTTGTTATGATGTATTCTTAAAGCTTATTAAGTTGTATATGTTTATTTAATGTCTTGTATGAAGGGATTTCAAGATTATAAATTGCCCTATATTTCATGATCCTCAGATCAACTAAAGACAGCATTATACAGAATAACACAAGATTGTGATCAATGGATAAAACCCCAGTCTGTATCATTTTTTTCCTCTTCCCCAACGTCGATGAATACATCCCTCACTCATATGGAACTGATGCCTGCTAGTCCACAGAATACCAATTTTGGTCACCCACTTAGCACATCTTTTGGGCTCAAGGTATATTTATAAATGAAGTAACGCTCTACTTATTTCCATTTTCCTAATAAATGTTGTCTCTCTAGTTCACAGTGATTTATAGTTCTCTGTTCAGTCTCTGATTGGTAGCCTAATTGGCTTTATTAGATATTCTTGAATTGACATTATTTATTATGGAGATATTGGGAAGAGAGGTCTATGACAGTTGTGGCTGCTCTCCTTATATATATATATTCCCTCCTTTCTTACAAACATTATGGTTTTTAACAACTTTGATATGATGGTTATCAAAATTGCTATCCGGATCGTACGATCCTAGATTGTCAAAACAATCCAAATCATTGTAGAATTGGTGTTATAGCAGGATCGCAAGTACGATTGCCGGGTTTGTGATTTTTCATCTTATTTAATATGCATCATCCTTATTTGCATTTTTACCTTAATTTTAATAGAAAGGAGAATCTTATAGAACCTCGATGCAATCCACGAGACCCTCTCACCGATCCTACGTAGGATTCTGATGTTAATGGCCATGTTTGATATTATAGCATATCGAGATCAAATGCTCCGTCAATTGTTGGAGTGAAGAATCTTCGAAGAGCTCCATCACCATATATAACGATGATGTAACTTCCCTTTAGGCATTACAAAGGATCTTAGTCTTGATATATTCCAGTTTGAAATCTGCTTCCTTTATGGTCTAATCATCCATTGTATAACCTTGGGTATTTGGTTGCTTATTCTTTTTTGATATTCATTGTTCTGATTATAGTCAACTTGGTTGCTGAACTTGCAAGTGTGCCTCTTTGTATTGGCTATTTCCTGCTCAAGAGGAAGTGTTGTTTCCCTTACACTAGAATTATGGGTGATTAACACTAGGGGGAGTGTTATTGTTTGCATAACTCCATGCAAATTTATGGGGGAATATATCATGGAATAGAACCGATGGTGAATTGCATGATTCACAATTAGATTTACATTTCAATTCATATTTTATGATTCATGTGATTCTTGGAATTATTAGGTCTGACAGATTCTATCCCCTTTTTTTGTTTGGTGTGAAAATGTTAGAATTCTTCTAAAAGTGTTTAGTATGAAAATAATCAATATCTATGCATGATTTGTTGTTTTTTTGGTAATCAAATTTTTTAATAGGATCCAACAAGATCCAGTCAAATTCAACAGAATCTTAACCTTTTTTTCTTAAAAAAATGTCAAAATACATCTTCTAAGGATGTTTAAGGCTAAAGTAACTTGCACCCAATGAATTATCTATTGTTATTTCGGTGAAATAAACATGGTTAATATGATATGGATCAATTTAGTCAGATGTAACAGTTTCGCAATTGTTTTTATTTTATATCTTGTTTTTTTCTTTTTCTTTATTTTTGAACAATAAGTATACACATCTTCTTAAAGTGTTTTAAGTTTTAAAATAAAGGGATGTCACTTCCCATTTACTCATTCTTCTTGTACCCTATGTACGGTTCCTAAGTTCATTTTTTAAATTTCAAGAAATAATATATTATGGTTTTCAAATAATTTTATGATTGGTGGGATTTAGACCTACATATCTTGCTATGGAAGCAAACGTCTTCTCAATTACCCGATGTAATCATGTCCTTATATAAGTACTATTGTATACAGAAGGATAGTGGGCCTTTAGTTGGCCAGTGTGAGGAGAAGATTAATGTTGGGTGTTCAATTGAACTGTCCCATTCTAGGGGATTGATATTACCTAAGAAACTTGTTAGTGCTTTTTTTTTTCATGGAAGATTTCAAGAGGCAATTCAAGGAGAAGCATATGAAAATCACTTATGTTGCTGTTACTGGAATAGCAAGTTGGAAAAATGGAAATCGTTGTCAGAAGTTGATAAGGAACCTTATGTGAAGTTGGCAAAATATTAAATGATTTCTGTTGTTGGGTGTGGATGGTTTTCATGGCTTGTATTAGGAATGTTGGAATGTCTGGATTGTTGTATGTGGGGTCTTTGTTTTATACCTGTTTCCTTTTTCTTTTTTGCTTTGATTGTATTAGGCTTGTGCCCCTTGGTACATTCTCTAGTACAATATATATATTTATTTATTTTTTTGCCAATAAAAAGTGTGCCAAAATCAATTTATTTCTCTTTTCATATATACGATTTTTAACATCATTTTTTTATAGTTCATTTTGAATACTACGATTTGCGATTTGATCTGATTCATGGTTCGCAAAATTAGGATTTCGATTTCACAACTATGCTTCAAATAATCTACTTGTGATTCAATTTGACAACTATGCTTCAAATAATCAACTTATTATGAAGTTTGAGGTTTGAAGCACCACTAAGACAGAGGAGCTTGCTTACTTGTGTCATTTGAAAATATTCTTGTGATATGGAGAAACATATCAGATAGGTGATTCAAGTCATTTCATGCCTTTATTATACTTATTGTGGTTTCTTGCTTAGATGAAACTATTTATTGTTTAATACAACTAAGGTGCTCTATGAGATCAAGCTACACCATCTTCGATTGTGTGAATAGAGTAACAATTTCTATATCATGCTGCAGGAAAGATGTGCAGGTGCCGATACTATATCTATTGTTGCTCGATTATTGCTTAGATCTAAAGCTCATCTTCAATTGATGCTTTTGCAAAATAATGCTGCTGTAGTTGAAGATTTCTATGCACATTTGGTACGTTTCTCTTATGCGACTTCTTTTAAAGAATTCAAGTTTGGTCTGCTGGCTTGTAATACTGCTAAAATTATTCACCCAAAAATGTGGATTTTCGTGGAAAAGTGACAAATTTCTTTTTTTTTTTTTTTGTTGTTGTTGAAATATGGCATATTTGGTAAATCTATTTCATGATTTATTCTAAATCCAAACAACATATTTATTCATTTATAAATTGATTCATTCTATGGGTGCTATACCTGCCAGACAACAATTTTTTTTTCGACCCTAGACAGTCCTCACAACCATACACACGTGTGCGCACATCGAGGCACATGCAGACCATGTTTTTTTTATCTATGCTGCATGTAGATTATTTCACCGTTGTTTATCCAAACTTCACTGGTTAAATTGTGGATGGTCAATACAATTATACAGATTGACATGGTCAGTTGCATGTTCATGTACATGTTACTAGATTTTTTTTTTATGTGAATAGACTAAAGCAAATTGAATAGGTATATGGGTGGACTGATTTTTCATGAATGATGTGCTTGAAGAAAGAGTGAGAGCAGACATGTCTGGACATCTTAAAATATTGACTTTGCCATGGCTTATTTTTCCTACTTAATCTGTTGGCTTCTAATCTGTAATATTGAGTTTAACTTATTTTGAATGAACTATTAAATAGTTTTTTGATAAAGTAATGAACTTTTAATTTTTATTTATTTTTATAAAAATTTGTTACACTTTAATTCCTTTAATTCAGTGGGAAAAGTCGCCAAATTGCTGGTATGGTACAACTGTTTCTTAATTGGATTGGTCAATGACATTATTATTCAGTGTTCATTCCATTGAAGGATGTGTTTTCTTACCTGGTTATTATCTTTATAACTAGTCCCCAGGTTTTAGTAAAGCTGATGGGAGAAAGTATTTTTGGTTTTTTATCAGGTGGATTCTGTACCAGATCTTGTGCAGCATATTCATAGAACTACTGCAAGATTACTTCTTCATATTAATGGGTACGAAATAAGACTGGATACCACCATTGGTCTATATTTTAAATTAAGCATTCTACTTTTGATTAAAGTGAGTAGGATATTTTAACTGGATTTATGTTGATTAATATGGGTCAACTAAGACGCTTATTGCCTTTCACATATTATTACATGTTTCATTTTCACTTGACTATCTATTAATATCTTTTTGTGCTTTTCTCATGTTAGTTATTGTATATGTTGCTGGGGTGCAAATGTATTGAACCTCGATGCTTTACATTGACATGTAAATCAGCTTGAAATTCTTAAACGAGACAAATAAAACCACGGTAAGAACTTAACAATATTACCTAAGTAATAATTCTTGAAACCAAATAACCAGAATTGACTTATTTAACAATTGGAAAGGAAGAGTTACCAAAATGGGACCCAAATTGAGGATCATCCAAGATCTTCCACAAAAGAGTAAAATACGGATTTAAAATTTAGTGGTATAGAAGTGAAGTTGAGCTGAATATTTGCAGGATATGTAGTTGGAATTTCATGTCACTGTGTTCAGGCTTCAGCAACCTGTCGACTTCCTCTACACAATTGACTTGGTTGTGTTGATGGGCCTTCATGTGCCTTCTAGTGGTTTTAGTCTAGTTAATTTTACCCTAGTTTCTAATTTTGGAGTTGTACATTCATATCTTGAAGACAACCTTCAGCTGTAAATCCTTGCAATCAGTTTGATGGAGAAGAAGACTCCTGAGTATTCTTCTCTAGTTGTTTAACCTCTTAAAGCATTATATGTTGCCATCTCAATCCTTGATTGCAGCTGTAAAGATTTGTAGATGTGATTGCCTGGAATCTTCTTCTTGATATGTGTTTGTATTATTGTGCTCATTGTTTTCCACTTTTTAATTGTTTAAACCTAGAACATTATCTCCGTGACTCTGTTCTCATCCTAACTTTTTAGATCTTCATTTTAACAATACAGACCCTTGACTGTTTTCAAATTAGGAAATCCTGCCTTGTTTATGAAATTCTAGGGGCATGTTGGCTTCAAACTGATATTATTCTTGCACTTTAACTCAAACTTCCAAAAGGGTGGAATAATATTCTATTTCTATTCTTCGCCTTTACTTGACTAACCTTGGAAGCAGGAGCTGCTCTCTACCTTAGAGCTTATATTTAAGTGATTGCCAACAAAACTTTTTTACTTTTCGACATTGTACTCTGTTGCTGGCTTTAGCTTTGTAATTGTTGAGGCCATCGAAAAAGGCCACGACCTAGGTTCACGACCTAGGTTTGTTCCAAAATTAAGTTTGAATGCTGGGTATGGTGAACTGGATGCAGATCTAGCCTCCAGATTTTTGCCCAAAATTTTAACTAGTGGAAGCCTGCTCAGTGTGAGGGACCTTGTGTACTATTGATTGAGGGAAAAATGGAGCCTAATTGTACAGATGGCAATGTCAAACATGGATGGCAATGTTTACCCAATCCCATTAACCTCTTGAAACTACCCACTGTGGATAAGTAAAATCCCAACTCATTTAGATATTGGGTTAAAATCAGTCACGATCCAATTATACCTATTTAAAACAAATCCTGAAGAAGTATTAAGTTACCCAATAATTACCTTACCCATGAGAAAACACAGTTTGGTTGGCTAGCAGTTGTCAGTAAAGTGTTTAAGAAAGATATCAGTAAGAAGTGGTTTGACTTGGTCAAGAACGGTGGGAGGAAAATGATGTGAGTAGCGTCAATTTGACACATTCACATATGTACACACTTATTCATTTTGATTGAACTGCAACCTTAATTCTTTTGTGAAACACTTGGTGCTCTTTTCATTGTTATGCAATTTTAACAGGTATGTTGATCGGATTTCCAATGCCAAATGGGAAGTTAAAGAGCTTGGACTAGAGCATAATGGGTAATTTTCTATATACTACCTTTTTCTTTAACTTTTTTTCTTTTTAACCTAGAAGTTTGTTATTTAATTAATGACATATAAGCAATCTTGCACCCCTACAAAATGCTCTTTTAGTTTGAGCAACAGTATGATTCGAAGTATCCATTGTTATGGAAAACTGACATCATTGATGTAGTGTCTTCTGAAAACAGATTGATGTTAACACATTATACATGATATGTTCAGATACTACAGAAGGCAAACACAGTGACTTGACTTATGCAACTATTAGTTTTTCTTTCTTTGTACTTTTTCTTAAGTGAACCAATAGGGAACATTAAACTTTTTTGGTATTATAGATTTTTCTCCACTCTTAATTTGTAATGTACATGAACATGATTTCTTGTGAATTACCTTTCTTGTTTATTAGACATTTATTATTAGATGTATCTCATGATACCCGAATCCAATATGCGATATGCGTCACGATTTGACAACAATGGTAACACCAAAGCTTTCTGATATCTGTAAGATAAAAGTGATACAAGTAAGAACACCTTTTCCTTTAATATTTGTAATTAAGATTGCTTCTCCATTGAAAATACTTGCATTGGCTATTGATGAATTATATATATGTATTATATTTTCAATGGCATCCTCTCAAAATTCCCACCTCCACTACACCTACTACCACATTTTCTTCTATATATAGATTGTATAGGAATTGTAATATAACAATCTTGTAATCAATCAATCAATATACATCAATTTTAACTTGGTATCAAGATTGCTTCTCCATTGAAAATACTTGCATTGGCTATTGATGAATTATATATATGTATTATATTTTCAATGGCATCCTCTCAAAATTCCCACTCTGTCCTGCTAGCGAAAACGTGAACAACATTTGACTGATGCTCTGACTTCTGTTAATAGGTATGTTGATTTGCTGTTGGGAGAATTTAAGCACTACAAGACGAGACTTGCTCATGGTGGAATTCCAAAGGAGGTAATATATTATGCGAGTATTATAAACATGCTTAGAGTAAACTAAGCATGTTTATAAAGGTCGTTTTGCTATGTAAACTATCATTTTTTATAGTTGTTACAGTAATATACATTTTGTAAACTATTAATAAAGTTTGATTATTTATCAATATATATGTGGGTTAATTACACTTTTAGTCCCTCACGTTTCAATTGTTTTAATTTTGTCCCCAAAGTTTTAAATGTGTGTTAAAGTGGTCCCCATGTCTGATGCCATCAGTATTATTGTCAGAATCAGAGGGTATTTTTGGAACAAAAACTTACACCTTAGCGGAAAAATGTCAGCGTTTTAAAATTTGGCACAATTGAAATGTTAGGGACCAAAATAACAGAAAACATATAATTGAAATGTTGAGGACCAAAATAACACAAAACACATACTATAGGGACGGAAAGTATAATTAACCCTGTTTATTTTTTTGAGGTATAATTTTTTATTGCAAAAACACCACTGATTTGGAACGATTAATATTTGATGGCGTCATCTTTAATTTGCATTTAATTCTTTAGGGATGAAGTTACCACAACTGAAATGTTAGGGACTAAAATGACACAACCACGGCTAGGGACCAAAAGTGTAATTAACCCTATATGTATAGTATTCTTTTGAGGTTGACCAAACTTACTCAGGGCTAGAACCAAGTTTCAGGACCTAACTTGGTTGACCAAGTGATCAAACTTCAGATTTGGTCTACCAAATCCAGTGTTTGTTGACGAAATTGACCTAACTTGAACTTTTTGGCTCGGCCTTGATCTCTTTTGTCTTCACTTGGTCCCTGCCTTGTTGAGAGTAGTCTTCATGTAGGTGAAGCTTCTTTAGCATTCCTTCCATGAATTCTTTAAGGCTCTCCAAGGCTTCTTAGCTTGACCATGTGCTTCCTTTGAAGGCTTGGTAGAAGTTGCTCCAAAGCCTTTTCAGTAGAATTATTTTTTATGCATTCATGGATTGGGCATTTGTTGTTGGGTTGGCAAGAACACCTAAACCATATGAATCATCCGTAAATTGTTACGTTTGGGATTTTTTAAGTTGGAGTTGACTTGAGTATGACGATGTGATCAACTAATGTATCTCTTGGAAAAGGGAATAAAATGAGTAACTACTATTTCTTCCCCTTGTAATCACAGGTTCAGGACCTCCTCTTAGAATATGGAGTTGAAATTGTTGCTGAAACTCTCATTGAAGGCCTATCACGAGTAAAGAGGTGTTCTGATGAGGGACGGGCTCTTATGTCATTAGATCTTCAGGTTTTCATTGAACTATAGAAGAAAACCATATATTTTTGTCTGCTTGTTTTTTTCTTATTATTTTTTTGGGTTTAGTTTTTTGATAGCTTGCTTCATGTATTCCTTTCAGGTTTTGATAAATGGCCTACAGCATTTTGTCCCCACAAATGTGAAACCAAAATTACAAACGGTTGAAACTTTCATCAAGGTGAACAAAAGAGCAGTTCTTAGGGACATGAAATCACTGGAAATTTCAGAGCCAATTAAGTTGGTTGCAATCTGAAGTCTGTCTTGTTCATATCACTCATTTGTAACCATGCATGGAACTTGATGTACTATCATGATTATTAACTGCCATTTTTTGCTTTCTTCGTGCAGGCGTACTATCTTCCAGAAACTGAATATGTGCACTGGTCACGTGCTCATCCGGTGAGAAAATTTTGCCTTGGGTGGTAGAAGTTTTCACATATGATATTTTATTTGGAAAATTATACACATGAATATTTTGTCGGAAAAAGATTGAGAGCTCTAAATATAGAGCTGCTCTAGAGCTCTAATGAGCTGTCCCCCACCCATGATGTGATGTTTGTGCTTTGTTTTTTTTTTTCAAAAATGTTCCAGACCCCCACTGGGGGTGACCCCCAGGACCCCCAGTGGGTGTGACTGGCTGGAAATTTATTTATTTATTTATTTATTTTTCAATCACCAACCCCCACGTGTGTGTGGGGGGTGGGGGTAGAGTAGGGGTCTCAATCACATTTGTTTGTTTGTTTTTTTTTTTTTTTGTGCTTTGCCACATCACTAGAGCTCAAATTAGAGCTCTGTATCATTTCCCTATTTTTTCAATTTGGTTCCGGTAGTTCCAATTGTATCAATTTTTTCCTTTGAAGTTTGAATATTTTGTCAATTTAGTCCAATTGATAGAAATTAGGGTCAAATGATCCATTCAAAAGGGAATGGACCATTTCAAATTAGATGCGAACTTCAATCACTCTGGGGTGAGTGAATGGACTATTTTTCCCCTTGATTTCAATTTAATTTCTAAAAGAATGTTATTGGACTAAATTTGACACAATATAAAAAAATTCAAGGGCAAAAATAATAGAGACAAATTACATGGACTATAGTTGTAATTTACCCTATTTTATTTATTTTATTCAGTATGACTATTTTGATTATAACCACCAGGGCATGTGAATTTCTTTTTCTTGCAGGAATACAGTAAAAGTCATATTGTAGGGTTGATCAACCTTGTAGCGACAATGAAAGGTTGGAAAAGAAAAACACGGTTGGAAGTAATAGAAAAGATAGAGGGAGCTGGACTGTAGCTTCTGTTAGTGTTGTAAGATTTCAATCATATAAAAATTTCCATTTTTCTTTTACCCTAATCTTTTGTGTCCTCATAAATGGTTTTGATGTAAATTGGATAGTCTCTTGAAACTCCCATTATTCAGAGAGAAAACATCACAAGGTTGTATATCTTCTGTGTCTGAGATTGTAATATAATCCTTCCCTTCAATGGAAAACATCAAATGTAATTCGGATCACATCATACATGAAATAATGATTTTACATGAGCGCATTGAAGTCGCAATCCCGTGTTTTTTTGTCTCAAAAAGAACAGCACAAGATAGCGTTTTCTTCATTAAAAATTAACCCAAAAAAAAAAAAAGGTTCACGGGTTGGATATATATATATATATCATGCATAAAAGTTTTGTTTGTGTGTGTATTAATTTTTTTTTTTTTTGAACGGTGTGTGTATCAATTTGAACCATTGAATTCATTGAAAATCATGAATTGAGAAGGAAAAATAGTTTAGAAGGTTCCCCACTTATTCTACTAGAAAGTTTTGCAAAGATATTTTTCATTTTTTTTTTTTTTTTTTTGGGGGGGAAAAAAAGTAAGAATAAGAGTACCTTCATTTTTTATTTTATTTTTTTGGTATAAATAAGAATACTTTTCATTATGTGCAAGGGACTATGCATTTAAGGTTTATTGTTGAATTTGCACTATTGTGCCTTGTACATGTTGGGAAAGTACCAAAATGTTTAAAAATTATTACTGATAACTAATTTTAATTATTAATATTTATAATTTTTATCACCTTTTTTTATTTTTTTGACATGCCTATTGAGTTACTTATTTGTCCTTTTGTTTTCATTGTCATGTTGCAATGTCAGGAACTTCCCATGACACACTGGATTAATTTTCTACATAAATCCTGAAAGGGAAAAGATATATTTTTACAGAAAATGTATATATAATCTGTTACAAAAATGATGTGACAATAACATTTATATAACAATAATGATTTAGATCACTAAAAAATACATCACTAATAGCACTAATGCATTGGGAATGGTAAAAAAAAGAAAGAAAAAAAAAAAAAAAAAGCATAGAAAGTGGGTGAGGCCCACTGCCACATCATTAGTGCTTCTTTTAGTGTTCCTTTTTTAGTGCTCTCAAGTATTTTTCTTATACAACTAATAGTTGACTTGACTTGATGGATTCTTTATTTAAACAATAATGATTCATCCTACTAAAAACATCACCACTAATAGCACTAATACATTAAAAAAGTAAAAAAAAAAAAAAAAAAAAAATACAACTCCAAGCGCAAAACATCAATCATTATGACGGGAACCCCGGCCACCTAATTAGTGGGAGCACTAATTAGTGCTCCCAAGCATTTTTCTTATTTAAAAGTGATAGGCTTGTAATGGTGCCCGATTATTCTGCATAAGTATATTGTATTCTTTTTCAATTCATATATTTGACGGATTATTCTGCATAAGTATATTGTATTCTTTTTCAATTCGTATATTTGAAGGAACTTAAAACTTGATTTAGTTTGGTAGCATTACTTGTCCACAAAATCTTTTCCCTGCTAATGTGTGTAATGAGCTTATGGTTGTGGGATGATGGTTGTGTTAATTTCATGAGTCAAGAGACTTTAATTGAATAATTGTTTTTAGTGCTTCTTTTCATCTCACGTCACAAATTGATTTCTTCAATTTCTACATCAAAGTAACAATTACTATTTTCATATTAAAATTACTTATTTAATCTTCTCAATGAAGTTTGTGCGAAATTATATTTTGGAAAGATGATTATAATCAACTTTTTGATAAAAAGTTATTTATAAACAACTTTTTTGTGAGAGAGGAAGTTGGTTATAATTCGGAAAGTGGATTATAACCCACTTCCCAAAATGGGCCACAATTATATTGGTTAATTAGATTGAAATTTAAAAGGATAATAAAACAAACAATTTGATTTACCATATGCATAGTAAAGTCTAACTGTGGCTAACTGTATGTTTAATTATCCACTTTAATTACTATTTTTACATTAAAGTGTTCATTTAATTCTCAGTTTGTGAAATTATAAATTGTGTAATTATATTGGCCAATTAGATTAAAAAATAAAAATTAAAAGAGAAAGCAAAGTCGAAATGTTTGTATGGTGTAATTTTTTTTTTTAATTTCATAATTAATATAATTCTTGTTTGAAATATTTGGGGATTGCAAAATCCAAAATATAAATTTTATTAAAAATTGATAAGTATTTATGTAATTTTAAAATTTGAAGAAATGAAAACACACATGTAAAATAAATAAAAATAAATTATCAGTAGGTTCTACTTTTGAGACTTATTACTCATTAATTCCTATTGATAAATTTATCAATTTCTTGTTTTTATAAATGAATTTACAGTGATAAATTTATCAGTCACAATCTGTAAGTAAATAAATCTAGTTAATATGATTGATTAGTAAACACTTGTTTGGGAAGAAGGGTTGGATTGGGTTTGCAACTATTTTAGCCATAAAAAGACAAAATAAACTTTTTAACCTAATAAAACAAAACATCTCATTCAATCCATGATCATTACATTCTTTCTCTTACAAAAGTAAAAAAAGTTCAAACTTATCCCAAACGAAATTTTTTAACCTTAGATTAAAATAGTTAAAAAGTCAAGCTACTTTCCAAACGAACTCTAAGTAAAAAAAAAAAAACAAACAAACAAACAGGAAAGCTCAGGCACAAAAACATTTTCCATAATTTCAGGAAATTACATTTCCACAGACATAATAATTTGGGGATACAAATCAGTAAAAAGAAAAAAGAAAAAATAATCATAAAAAATATACAGATGCAAGTGATGTAAAAAATTTTCACTTGTACTACCAAAGCACAAATCTCCTTTCACCTTTATATTTTTGTAATTACTTTTCTGGTTTCCATCACTTGGAATTTCCCTAATAATAAACACAAGATAAAGAAAAAACCAAATTTTTTTTTTTCAAAAAGAAAAAAACAATTGACACCGAACAATTCATTTCCATTATTTGAATGTATTTTTTTTTTTTTTGAAATACTTTCCTAATTCTTCATAAAATAGATTGATACCTAATAAAACACACTTCATTTATTCGGTGTGAAACATCCTATCATAATAAATTGCAACCATCACTGATGATGGTGATGAATCACAGCAGCAGCGTCTGATCAATCTGTATTTATTTGCACGTTGACTCACTCACTCAGTCTCCGTCTGATTTAAATCTATCCATCTATATATTTCATTTACTTGGAAGTAATGAAATGGGTGATTGTGTGATCGTACCTACCATGTTCAATGCCACGCATGGCTGATCAACGGGTACCTGCACAATTTCATCATCAGAAAATTTGTCAGATTTCTCTATCACCGTCAGATTTGGGTTCCCCGCACGGAAAGCCCTACGATCTTTTGACAATATGAATGACTCACCATTAATGCATGCTCTGCAACGTACCCTAATTAAATGCATGATGGTGATGATAGACGCATATGTGTGTTTTGTACGCCAAAGTGTACACTAGGTAGTGGATTAAAAAGCTGATTTTTTAGTTCTTTATTTTTATTTTTTATTTTTTTTGAAAAATATGTAAAAAAAAATAAAATAAAGAGATAATATAATCTAGAAAAATTAAAAAGTAAAAAAACTTACTTTTAGCTAGGTTCCCAAAACAGGCAAAGAAACCCGAGAAGTTATTGGTTGGTCCAATATAATGTCACGTGCTACTCCATATACATTATGATTGGTAGAAAGAGTAAGACTCTTAATTTTGTATTAAATGATTGAGAAACATAATAAAAGCATAATTGTTTATCAGAGATATAGCCATGCGATACCCTTGGACTAACCCATAATTTCTCCAAAAACCCCACCTAATTATAAAATCTCTGTCTAGGCTTAGTGTATGACATTTTGGGTGTTCAAATAATTCAAATTCTTCAATTTTTATTATTTTTTGAATAAATTATTTATATAAAATTAAATTAATTAAATATTAATAACCATTTTTTTACAATGAATAACAAATAAATTTTTTAAAATAAATTATTATTATTATTATTTTAAATAAATATAATTATAATACATAATTATTGATATAGTATCAATATATAATTATTAATATTGTTATGTACTCATTTAACATTGAAATTTATAATATTGGGACCCATTAACATGTGATCAAATTGCTTTAAAGGAATGTACGTCGTATACCATTGCAAATCCTTCTAGTACAAACACAACTCTGGTGGGTTGTGACACTTCAACAACTCATCAAGTCTTTCGAGGCCAAACTTTAATATCAGAGGACAATATGGACATTTCACGATGGGTAATGGCCATTTGAGCAACTACGCCTACGCCATGATAGTGTTATCATGATAGAAACACATTTGGTGACAATGACATGACACCAAATATTATCTTCTAGAAAATATTGTAAGGGAACGGCTTCTCTCCCGTTTGGGGTCGGATTGAAAAATACTATTAGGTTAGTGAAAATGTATTATAAGTTTCGTTTTAATAATTCGAATTGTTAATACGTAAAATTCGTCGAGTATTATATACTTGTAAAAAATTACGTTAATCGGATATCAATAGTTATGTGGTCAAATCAGATTTTTGTATGTCATTTACTTTTTACCGTCCATTTTTTTCGTACAAAACTGATTTGATCATATAGCTATCGATATTCGATCAACGTGATTTTTTACAGACATATAGTACTCGACGATTTTTACACATTGACAGTTTGAATTATCAAAACGAAACCTGTGGTAGACCTTCACGGGCCCAACAATACCCTCAAATCTGTGATTGGACTAGGAGGAAACCCCATATTGTAAAATCTTTTGAAACGTGATTCTTAGGACGTTTTAGCAAGTTGGTAAAAAGTTAATTTTTTGATTTTTTTATTATTTTGAGTCATATCACCTCTTTATTTTTTTACATTAAAAAAATCAAAAAATTAATTTTTTACTGCCTTCTCAAACCACTTAAATTCATTTTCAATATTTTGAGACATTGTTGGAAATGTGATTCTTAAAATATGATTAATAAATTTTTCTTTAATATTACAAGTGATTGATTTTTAAATAATCTAGATCATTGATTGTAAGGTCAAGTTTGGCAAGTTGAAAAAAAGTCAAAAAATTACTCAAAAAGTTAAAAAGTTATCACTATTCATCAAAAGTCAAAAAGTATTGCTGCACAACTCCCAATCATAATTTTTTCCTACACACTAATTTATACAATTTTTTAATACACATTTTTCCATAAAAATTCAAAAAATTAACCCAAACAACCATATTTTTTTCCTCAATTTTTTAGTCCAAAAAATAAAAAAGTACACTTATTTAGGATATTCCAAACAAATTTGAAGGTCATATTCAAAGGGTTTTAAATTTTGTTTCTTGTTAAAAAGTTGGTTATTTTAGTAAATTATTTTCATTTTTAATTATTTTCTTAGATTAAAATTTTTGTGTTTTGTAATATGATTGAATTTTTTTATTGTTAGATACAATGTTTATAAGAAAAAAAATAAAATGATTATCAATTTGATATAACATTTTACCTTATTCATGATTTTAACCTATTTTATCATTTTATAAATTTTAACTAAAAAACAAAAAAAAAATCAAAAATCAAAACCCCACTTGCGAAACAAGGCCAGTATTTAGACACTCTTGCAATTAGACTCCAGTCGTTAGAGAGAAATCATTATCAAGGAATTAATAAAGAATGAGCTAGTCAATTCAGTGCACTATATAAAACAATCATGCATTAAAGGGTCGAATCCACTATGGAGAAGCGAAATCCAAATCAAAATGTGATTGTGGGCTTGGTTTAAGAGGTTGTTTGGGATGATGTAAGTGTATTTTTTGTCTTTTTATGAAAAGATGTGTAGAAAAGTAGAGAGATGATGTGATGAAAAAAAGATAAAAAGTGTATACTTATTTAGAATAGCCAAACTTGACTTAAGTGCCTAAAATTTATACAATGATTTTTTATTTAGATTGATCATGTGTGATTTAGATCCAAATCTTGTATAATGAAACCTACATTTAAAATAAATTTAAATCACATATTAGTAATTTTGATTAAAATTTTAAAAATATATACTAGTATATGGCATTGTTTTTTTGGCCCCGTCTAGGCCCAATCTGGAATTCTGAGATTGATGCCCCAGCCCTTCGTTTGCATTAACTTCCCGCCCATGCGAATATTCAAAATTATTAGACGTGGGTGGAGATATATTACTTCCCGAGATTGTAGCCTCATATACCGCGGTTCCTTGATCAGCGCCCTCAATCACGGGGGTCAGAGTTTGTCCACTGATTTCTTTCCTATCCCGACGCCTGTCGGATTCCACCGGAACACGGGTTGGCGAAGCACGCAGAGGTGCCCCCTCCTCCTGATTCACCTGTGCATGATTCGTCCGCAGCGGTATCCCCTGCCCACCAGGATGCGTCCCCCCTACTCCTTTGTCAATCGAACCAGCGCGACGAGGCCCCTTACTTTTGATATTATCCATCCTCAACCATGCCCCATATTGCAAACTATCAACCCGAGTGCCATCGGCAGAGGAGAGTTTGGCATCACACTCCCGGTCGCTGTGGCCGAGCCTTCCGCAAAAATAGCAATAGATCGGGAGGCGCTCATATTTGAAGTCCACCCAGATTGGTTCGACAGAGGACAAAGCCAATTTCATCCCCCGTCGTAGGGGCTTTCGAACATCAAGGGCTACCCGAATGAGCATTGTTCGGCCCCATGCAATGCCACCATCTTCATAATCCATATCAATAAATTGGCCAACAGCGTTGCCAACGATTTGTCCAACCTTTTTATTCATCAGAATTAGAGGAAGATTGCAAACATGCACCCAGAATTGCACCCATGTTAATTGAATGTCGGATGGTTGAACGTTGGGATCCATCTCGCCCAACATTAGAAGATGCTTGTCGAATGTCCAAGGGCCGTTCGATAGTATTCTCCGTTTATCCACAACATGACCAAACACGAACACAAACAGGTTGTCCCCAATGACCCGTACTTGCATTCCTTTAGTGGGTTGCCACACCGAGAGCAGGGTACTCTTCATGGCTTCGACATTAAACGGCCTACGAGTGAGTAACTTGCTAACAAGACACATATCCGATTTGCCCATCATCAAGCTTGTAGAATCCCCCCCAATCCTCACAACTGCGTCCTCCTCCGAAGTAAGGGATAGCGTACGAGTAAGGTCGAGAAGGGAATCAGCCATCGTGTCAGTACCACCTCCGTCAACCTTCTAGCAGAAGAAAAAAACTTGCACACAGCAAGAAGAACCTCCCCTACAGAGAGAGAGGACAAAACCTCCACTCTAGAGAGAGAGGAAAAGCTTTACGTAAAAAATATAACTTGGCCTAATAGTTGACTTGATGAATTCTTTATTTAAAAATGATAGGCTTGTAATGGTGCCCGATTATTCTGCATAAGTATATTGTATTCTTTTTCAATTCGTATATTTGACGGAACTTAAAATTTGATTTGGTAGCATTCCTTGTCCACAAAATCTTTTCCCTGCTAATTTTTGTAATGAGCTCATGGTTGTGGGATGATGGTTGTGTTAATTTCATGAGTCAAGAGACTTTAATTGAATAATTGTTTTTAGTGCTTCTTTTCGTCTCACTTCACAAATTGATTGTTTTTAGTGCTTCTTTTCGTCTCACTTCACAAATTGATTTCTTCAATTTCTACATCAAAGTAACAATTACTATTTTCATATTAAAATTACTTATTTAATCTTCTCAATGAAGTTTGTGCGAAATTATATTTTGAGAAGATGGTTATAATCAGTTTTTTGGTTAAAAGCTGCTTATAAGCAATTTTTTGTGAGAGAAGAAGTGAGTTATAATCCGAAAAGTGGATTATAACCCATTTCCCAAAATGGGCCACAACTATATTGGTTAATTAGATTGAAATTTAATAGGATAATTAAACAAACAATTTGATTTACCATATGCATAGTAAAGTCTAACTGTGGCTAACTGTATGTTTAATTATCCACTTTAATTACTATTTTTACATTAAAGTGTTCATTTAATTCTCATTTTGTGAAATTATAAATTGTGTAATTATATTGGCCAATTAGATTAAAAAATTAAAATTAAAAGAGAAAGCAAAGTCGAAATGTTTGTATGGTGTAATTTTTTTTTTTAATTTCATAATTAATATAATTCTTGTTTGAAATATTTTGGGATTGCAAAATCCAAAATATAAATTTTATTAAAAATTGATAAGTATTTATGTTATTTTAAAATTTGAAGAAATGAAAACACACATGGAAAATAAATAAAAATAAATTACCAATAGGTTCTACTTTTGAGACTTATTACTCATTAATTCTTATTGATAAATTTATCAATTTCTTGTTTTTATAAATAAATTTACAGTGATAAATTTATCAGTCACAATCTGTAAGTAAATAAATCTAGTTAATATGACTGATTAGTAAACACTTGTTTGGGAAGAAGGGTTGGATTGGGTTTGGAACTATTTTAGCCATGAAAAGATAAAATAAATTTTTTAGCCCAATAAGACAACATCTCATTCAATCCATAATCATTAGATTCTCTCTCACAAAAGTCAAAAAAATCCAAACTTATTCCAAACAGTCTTAGGCTAAAATAGCTAAAAAGCCAAGCTACTTTCCAAATGAACTTTAAGTGAAAAAAAACAAAACAAAACAAACAAACAGGAAAGCTCAGGCACAAAGACATTTTCCATAATTTCGGGAAATTACATTTCCACATACATAATTGGGGATACAAATCAGTAAAAAGAAAAAAGAAAAAATAATCATAAAAAATATACAGATGCAAGTGATGTCAAAAATTGTCACTTGTACTACCAAAGCACAAATCTCCTTTCACCTTTATATTTTTGTAATTACTTTTCTAGTTTCCATCACTTGGAATTTCCCTAATAATAAACACAAGATAAAGAAAAAACCAATTTTTTTTTTTTTTCAAAAAGAAAAAAACAATTGACACCGAACAATTCATTTCCATTATTTGAATGTATTTTTTTTTTTTTTTTTGGAAATACTTTCCTAATTCTTCATAAAATAGATTGATACCTAATGAAACACACTTCATTTATTCGGTGTGAAACATCCTATCATAATAAATTGCAACCATCACTGATGATGGTGATGAATCACAGCAGCAGCGTCTGATCAATCTGTATTTATTTGCACGTTGACTCACTCACTCAGTCTCCGTCTGATTTAAATCTATCCATCTATATATTTCATTTACTTGGAAGTAATGAAATGGGTGATTGTGTGATCGTACCTACCATGTTCAATGCCACGCATGGCTGATCAACGGGTACCTGCACAATTTCATCATCAGAAAATTTGTCAGATTTCTCTATCACCGTCAGATTTGGGTTCCCCGCACGGAAAGCCCTACGATCTTTTGACAATATGAATGACTCACCATTAATGCATGCTCTGCAACGTACCCTAATTAAATGCATGATGGTGATGATAGACGCATATGTGTGTTTTGTACGCCAAAGTGTACACTAGGTAGTGGATTAAAAACAACAATGATACATCCTACTAAAAATATCACCACTAATAGCATTAATACATTAAAAAAATAAAAAAAATAAAAAAAAATTACAACTCCAAGACCAAAACATCACATCATTCATGACGGGACCCACTGCCACCTAATTAGTGGGAGCACTAATTAGTGCTCCCAAGCATTTTTCGGATTAAAAAGCTGATTTTTTAGTTCTTTATTTTTATTTTTTATTTTTTTTGAAAAATATATAAAAAAAAATAGAGAGATAATATAATCTAGAAAAATTAAAAAGTAAAAAAACTTACTTTTAACTAGGTTCCCAAAATAGGCAAAGAAACCCGAGAAGTTATTGGTTGGTCTAATATAGCGTCACGTGCTACTCCATATACATTATGATTGGTAGAGAGAGTAAAACTCTCAATTTTGTGTTAAATAATTGAGAAACATAATAAAAGCATAATTGTTTATCAGAGATATAGCCATGCGATACCCTTGGACTAACCCATAATTTCTTCAAAAACCCCACCTAATTATAAAATCTCTCTCTAGGCTTAGAGTATGACATTTTGGGTGTTCAAATAATTCAAATTCTTCAATTTTTATTATTTTTTGAATAAATTATTTATATAAAATTAAATTAATTAAATATTAATAACCATTTGTTTACAATGAATAACAAATAAATTTTTTAAAATAAATTATTATTATTATTATTTTAAATAAATATAATTATAATACATAATTATTGATATAGTATCAATATATAATTATTAATATTGTTATGTACTCATTTAACATTGAAATTTATAATATTGGGACCCATTAACATGTGATCAAATTGCTTTAAAGGAATGTACGTCGTATACCATTGCAAATCCTTCTAGTACAAACACAACTCTGGTGGGTTGTGACACTTCAACAACTCATCAAGTCTTTCGAGGCCAAACTTTAATATCAGAGGACAATATGGACATTTCACGATGGGTAATGGCCATTTGAGCAACTACGCCTACGCCATGATAGTGTTATCATGATAGAAACACATTTGGTGACAATGACATGACACCAAATATTATCTTCTAGAAAATATTGTAAGGGAACGGCTTCTCTCCCGTTTGGGGTCGGATTGAAAAATACTATTAGGTTAGTGAAAATGTATTATAAGTTTCGTTTTAATAATTCGAATTGTTAATACGTAAAATTCGTCGAGTATTATATACTTGTAAAAAATTACGTTAATCGGATATCAATAGTTATGTGGTCAAATCAGATTTTTGTATGTCATTTACTTTTTACCGTCCATTTTTTTCGTACAAAACTGATTTGATCATATAGCTATCGATATTCGATCAACGTGATTTTTTACAGACATATAGTACTCGACGATTTTTACACATTGACAGTTTGAATTATCAAAACGAAACCTGTGGTAGACCTTCACGGGCCCAACAATACCCTCAAATCTGTGATTGGACTAGGAGGAAACCCCATATTGTAAAATCTTTTGAAACGTGATTCTTAGGACGTTTTAGCAAGTTGGTAAAAAGTTAATTTTTTGATTTTTTTATTATTTTGAGTCATATCACCTCTTTATTTTTTTACATTAAAAAAATCAAAAAATTAATTTTTTACTGCCTTCTCAAACCACTTAAATTCATTTTCAATATTTTGAGACATTGTTGGAAATGTGGTTCTTAAAATATGATTAATAAATTTTTCTTTAATATTACAAGTGATTGATTTTTAAATAATCTAGATCATTGATTGTAAGGTCAAGTTTGGCAAGTTGAAAAAAAGTAAAAAAATTACTCAAAAAGTTAAAAATTTATCACTATTCATCAAAAGTCAAAAAGTATTGCTGCACAACTCCTAATCATAATTCTTTCCTACACACTAATTTATACAATTTTTTAATACACATTTTTCCATAAAAAGTCAAAAAATTAACCCAAACAACCATATTTTTTTCCTCAACTTTTTAGTCCAAAAAATCAAAAAGTACACTTATTTAGGATATCTCAAACAAATTTGAAGGTCATATTCAAAGGGTTTTAAATTTTGTTTCTTGTTAAAAAGTTGGTTATTTTAGTAAATTATTTTCATTTTAAATTATTTTAATAGATTAAAATTTTTGTGTTTTGTAATATGATTGAATTTTTTTATTGTTAGATACAATGTTTATAAGAAAAAAAATAAAATGATTATAAATTTGATATAACATTTTACCTTATTCATAATTTTAACCTATTTTATCATTTTATAAATTTTAACTAAAAAAAAAAAATCAAAAATCAAAACCCCACTTGCGAAACAAGGCCAGTATTTAGACACTCTTGCAATTAGACTCCAGTCGTTAGAGAGAAATCATTATCAAGGAATTAATAAAGAATGAGCTAGTCAATTCAGTGCACTATATAAAACAATCATGCATTAAAGGGTCGAATCCACTATGGAGAAGCGAAATCCAAATCAAAATGCGATTGTGGGCTTGGTTTAAGAGGTTGTTTGGGATGATCTAAGTATATTTTTTATTTTTTTACGAAAAGATGTGTAGAAAAATAAGAGATGATGTGATGAAAAAAAAGATAAAAAATGTATACTTATTTAGGATAGCCAAACTTGACCTAAGTGCCTAAAATTTACACTATGATTTTTTATTTAGATTGATCATGTGTGATTTAGATCCAAATCTTGTATAATGAAACCTACATTTAAAATAAATTTGAATCACGTATTAGTAATTTTGATTAAAATTTTAAATATATATACTAGTATATGGCATTGTTTTTTTTTTATTTAAAAAAAAAAAATTGGCATTGTTGATGATTTGTTTAGACTTACAAAGTGGCCGGCTTCAAGAATCCAGTAGAAGTGCAAGTTTCTGTACGATTTCATGAACCCCCTTGTCACTCTATCGTCTCCACAGTAGATGGGAGTTCTATCCATGCTCAAAAAAGTTTTGAGACCTTCCCACCTGAAATTTTAAAAATAAATAAAGAAATGTAAAAATGTGATGGTTCTAATATATGAGAGAGAGAGAGAGAGAGAGAGAGAGAGAGAGAGTCTTACTTTAGCTTCTCAACCCATGCTTCAGTCCCCTTGGTTGCACAAATGACATCAAGCTACAACCACCAAAGAAAATAGGGGAAATTACTTTCAATTGTACTATCAAAAAAATTATTGCTGATACATAAATTTTTTTTTTTGACACTCTTAAAATTTTAATTCATATAATACTTGACTTTATTTTCATAGAAAATTCATTAGTTGTATGAATAAAAAAAATACGTTATCATATCTTTTATCCTGAAATGTATATTTATAGAACATACATTAGTTTTAATCTCTTTAACTTTACCAAAAGAATATTGGTATAATTATGTCAAAATTACAGAGTTTATTAGTATATTTTCTACAAACTTCAAGGGAAGTCAAGGTTATTTATCCAAAAATTATTAATGTTCTCTAGAGCCAAACATTTGTGTAGAATCATCATTATATATGTGTCGGACCTATACAAATGTGTGACTTTCGAATCATTAAATACAAGACTAGCAAGATGAAACTATAGTAGAATCTCTAATTGCACTTATTAAAAATATATAATTATTTAAAACATTATTAACCAATGCCTTATCACACTTGATGACAACACCCATAAACAATAACTAAAACAATATTAACAATCATTGAACAACTATAACTAGTATTTGTTTAGAGCAATGATGCATAACTTTAAATTTAAAATTTTAACAAGGGTTCTAATGAGATAGCAACAAAAAAAATAAAAACAAAATAAAAACAAAACATCAAATCAATAGATGGATTCCACTGATTAGAGCTCTTGGTTTAGAGCTCTCAAGTATTTTTGATTTGTTTGAGTAATATAAATATATATGGGCTATTTTGAAAAGTAGATTAAAAGTCACTTCCCAGTTTTTAACTCACTTCTTTCTTTTACAAAAAAATTAAAAAAAATTAAAAAATAATTTTTAATCAACATCAAATCAATGGATGGATTCCACCCATTAGAATTCTTAATTTAAAACTCTCAAACATTTTTTATTTGTTTGAGTAATACAGAAACATATATATATACATATACATAAGTGTGTCCATTCATCAATTTCACCTATAATGTATTTTGTCAACATTAGAATATCAATGCCAGAGTTGCAAGGTACAATTATGTCGTCAAACATGGAAAACGCCATTCCAATTCAAGAAAAGTCTGATCTCATGGGGTTTTATAGTCAGACATTGTTGAAATAAAGGCCCAAAAAGGAATCTTACTTGCCCATTGTATACAGTCACATTGACTCCTTTAGCTAAGAGTTCATCAACCTGTAAACCAATAAATGCATCAAGTAAATCTCAAAACAATGTTTCATATTCTATAATAATTTTGTCTAACCCTTTAATAATGGGGTTTTTTTTTTTTTTTTGGTTGTGAAGAAACCATTAGGAAGACAAAGCAAAAGAAGATTTTTAAAGAAGTGGGGACAAGAAATGTTAGGTCATCAATCTATTTTGCACAATTTCTCAGCAATTAAATGAAGTATAAAATAAAATTAGAAAAACATCAAAAATCTCCAAAGTTTTGTCAAATTTTTTTATTAAATGTCTCATATAGGTGTGAGACTCACACCATGTGAGTCCCATATTCATATGAAATATTCGATAAAAAAATTTAGAAAAGTTTTAACATCTCTAACAGTATTCATAAAATTAACTATGACCTCACTAAGAGGTCAAGGGTCGTCGAGACCAAGACATTCAAAAACAATGTACCAAAAGAAAATAAAAAAAATAAAAAAACAGGCAATATATTTTTTTTGAACAAGTGGTAGGGATGGGTGCAAAAAAGAATAGAGGTCAAGGGTCGTCCGAGACCAAGACATCCAAAAAATTTAGAAAACTTTTCACATCTCTAACATTATTCATAAAATTAACTATGACCTCGATAAGAGGTCAAGGGTCGTACGAGACCAAGACATTCAAAAACAATGTACCAAAAGAAAAAAAAAAGAAAAAAAAAGCAGACAATATATTTGTTTTGAACAAGTGGTAAGGATGGGTGCAAGAAAGAATAGAGAAAGAAAAAAATTAAAGGCAAAATTAGACTGCTACTCCTGATACTTTGATCTTTATATCATTTTGGTCAGTATAATTTTAATTAGATTAATTTTCACTATGAATTTTTAATTGTATCAAATTGTCCAATATTGATGTCAATTGGTAGCATTTTTCATAGCAAATGCACACATAAATGACGTGTTATACTTTTAATAGCAAAATTATAAATTTTGATTAATTTAGTGACTCAATCTCAACCAATTTAGTGAAAATTTTCTATCAAAAATTCTAATGGCGTTATCAATTAGACCAACTTGACGCAAAATTTAAAATAAATGATCAAAATTAAGTCAATTGAGATTATAAGAACTAAAATGATACAAGTGATAAAATATAAGAATTACTGATATAATTTGCTCAAATTCAAAAATACAAAAATTAATTTCAAAATTAGACACAATTTTCTCACATAAAGTGAGTCCCATTTTCTTGTGGGTCATACACTTAGGTAAAAGAAATGTGTCTGATTCTGTAATTGATTTCTATATAAGTAGAAAAACTGAACAATTCTTCTTTTCTTTCTTTTGGGTCATACAGTCAGGTAAAAGAAATGTGTTTGATGCTATAATTGATTTCTATATAAGCCTCCGTTTGGGAAGTGGGTTGACTTTTTGGCTTTTTGGCTTTTTTGGCTATTTTAGCCTGGGCTAAAAAGCTTGGTTTGGGAAGGGCTTTTTGGCTTTTTGGTTTTTTTGACTTTTTTTGTGAGAGAAGAATGTAATGATTATAGGTTGGATGTGATGTTTTGTTTGTTATGGCTAAAATAGCCTATTTTGTTTTTTGTGGCTAAAATAGCCGAAAAAGCCTGAAAAAGCCCTTGCCAAACAGGCTTAAGTAGAAAAAGACAATTCTTCTAGTTAAAGGGATAATGATATGCCAAGTTTGTTACCTCACTGATCCTTGGCCTCATAAAATCACCAGCAAGTGCTGTGAAAACAAGATCTGACTGTCCTCCCCATCTATAAAATTATGAAAACCAATTAATTCTCTGTTGCACATAAAGGATCCTTCAATTATCTTTTTTGTTTTGTTTTAAAAGAAACAAGAAGACTCACTGCACATTTTCTGGAATCTTTAGCTTCTTTTTGATGGCTCCATTCATGAGGCTATCAAGATTAACACCACCACCAGGAGAAGAAGACTTCAAGGAATCAAGATATCTCGAGTATCGCTTCATAGCAATTCCCATTGATAGCTCAGAAGCTGTCAATGACACTGGGTCCATCCCCGAATCCAACAAAAAATTATAGAAATCCTGCAAATTGTCCCCAAAAGGCTAACCGATTCAAACACTTCTGAGATTATTTTAAGAAATTGATTTCATTTTTTTGGGGGTGCGAACTACACGTACGACAGAATTACTGCTGGAGCTAATCACATCCTCAAGTGCACTCCATGAGTTTGTGGCGTCTTCGAATTGGCCATTGTCGATTTGCTGCTTAATTTGCTGAGCTAAACTGTTTTCTGAAATGGGATTGTTAGACAATAGAAGTCTTCATTGTTTTTTAGTTGAAGAAGTTAGAAATAAAGACCTGTTTGATTTCTGGGCACCATTGCTGTCAAGTCTTGACACATCTTTGAGAAGAGGACCCCATGAGAACTGCATTTTGTTTTTGGAAAACATTTTATAATGTTTGCATGAAAACAATTACAATCCAATAATCAAATTCAACAAAACTACTCACCACAAAATCTTCTGGTGAGATCCAACTATCTCCCAATGCAACTCCTACATATTCAAAAACAATTCAAAGTCACAGAGTTAAGACACTGTCACATAGGGATGAAATTAGTAGTACTTCAATGACAAAACAGTTTTTTGGGTTTATTAAACTCTTCAACCCTCTATTTTAACTCAAATTTTACTTTAGACCATGTTGTTTCAATTTAAACAATTTGGTTCTACACTTTAAGTCCAGTTTCAATTTTATCATTCTATCTAAATTTCTATTAATTTTGTCTACATGTACACCTTAGAAAATTGAAACTACAATTTGGACGGAATGACCAAATTGATACAACGCTTAAAGTGTATGAGTCAAATTGTTTAATTTAAAAGCATAAGGATTAAAGTGAAATTAAAAATAAATACAGGGGTAAAAAGTATAATTAACCCTGGTTTCTTTTTTGGTTACATTGAAGGCTATATAGCCTTATGGAGGAGGAAGTCTTGCCTAGCAATGCTTGAATGTTGAGAACTCCTAGTGAGGCGCATGGGTTGTGGCCAACTAAGCTAGTCCGTGTTGGTTGACAAATGATTTCTATTTGAAGGAAAATGATGTTTTCTTACAAAATTTTTATACGTAATTCTTGATCAGTATACCATGTATTAATGACATTCTTGAAAATATAAACCAAACTTGAAGGACTTTTCGCTTTAAATTAATAAAATCAAAGATTGCCAACCATTCCGTATTAATTATCTGTGATAATTTTTCTTTGTATATCACTGCCCCTGTCAAAAAAAATGATGATGAAAACAGAACTGCATCCAAGTCCCAGTCCAACAATATAAAGATGACCCATCTGAGTTGTCTGCTATAATTCAAAATCTATAATCTTTTCATTAGATAAAATTATTGCTTGAGCACTCACCTCCAAGAATAAGCTTCAATTTTCCAGATTCAATAGCCTTTAGAGCAGACAATCCAAGAGTCGCAGCAAATTTTCCTCCATAGGACTCTGCTACAATGTATAGAGGACTCTTTTGAAGAGACTCATTCTTGTTGAAGATCTCCATCAACAACATAGTCAAATCAGTTGCTGCCTCTTCATCAGTTTTCACAAACAGCTTTGTATCCTCCACAAAACTGAATCCAGTTCCAACTGGATTATCCTATATAGGTTAAAATGTTAAAAATTAAATTAATTATAAAAAAAAATCTCTCTATTAAAAAAAAAAACCCAACAATTTCAATTTAATCAAAATCACTAATGCTAAAAACACATTCTGTGATCTATATTCTGTGTTGCTATAATTGCTCAATGAAAATTGCTTACCACAAACAAGAGATCAGCTTCTCTCAGCCATGTTGAATTCCTAGGCTTCAAATCAGTGTCCAATGGTCCAACCTCTTCAAAATTCCCAATTCCAACCCCTGAAGCACCCTAATAATTTTGTATTGAACCAAACACAAAGAAAAAAAACTTAGAAAATTGTTTTCAAAAACACAAAAAAACAAATTCACAAAATTGGGTTCTATTCAGGGTTGTTGGGATATAATTATGAACCCATATACTTACTGGTCCACCCTGTAACCAGAGAATTATTGGCCAGGGCTTTTCTGGATCTTCAACTCTGTATGGACTCCTGTAATACCACCAGAACATGTGGGCTTCTGTTTTTTTTGTTTTTTTTTTTGGGTACAACCCAAACACACAATAAAAGAAGCCATGATCAGTATATTATTTGGAGAATTTCCATGTCTAAATATCAAAATTAATGACAATATGCAATAAAAAATAATACTAGTTTAGGATTTGGCTTACTGGGTCTGACTTGAACATAACCCCACTGTTCAGATCCATCTTGGGTTGTTTTAGCCATGGCTAATTCTAATCCACCATGAAAGAATGGAAGAAAGAAGAAAACAGAGAAAACAAGAAAAACAACATAGAACTTTTCCATGTTGAAAAACAGAGAGAGAGAGAGAGAGAGAGAGAGAGAGAGAAATACCCAACTCACAGATTGGAAAGTAATTGCAGAGATGATGGGGAAGGGCTATATAGAGTATATGTGCATGGTGAGTGACTGAATTTTGATGTTTCTCATTTGGTTATGTGTGCAACATAAATAACAACAACAAAAAAATGTGGTACAGAAAAAAAGAAATCACAAACTTTGACTTTTCAGATCAAACTTCAGTTATCTGTCCAATTTGTATGTGAGGAATATATATATTTATAGAAAGATAGAGTGAAGAAGTTAACAATAACGTGTGCAGAAAATTACGGGTAAGACAAAGTCATGTGTAGTGAATAGCTGTTATATTTAATTTTTACCAGTATCATATACATTTTTATTAGTTATAATTATTATTTTTAATTATGATAATATTTTAGTGATGATTCATGAGATTTTTTATAATATTTCATGTGATGTTTGGTTATGACTATTTTTTTTTATAATTATTACTCAAAAAGTCTGAACTTATACCATTTATTTATTTATTTATTTATAAAGTGCACATAGTACACACCCTTTGAGGGGTGCGTATTATAATCTTCCCCTTAATTTTTAGTGATTTTATATTTTAGATATTATAATAACCACTAAGCAGGGTGAGTAGAGGCAAAGACATGTGTAGTGAATAGCAGTTATTAGTTTAGTAATTTTCCTTTTTAGACATTATAGGAACAGCTAAGCGGGTAAGGGTGAAGACAAAGTCATGCATAGGACTACAAATGAGTCGAGTCAAATTTTGTTGAGCTCAAACTTGCTCATTTGCTTGTCGAGCTCATTTATTAAACTTAAGCTCGGCTCGATAAATAATTGTGCTTTAGCTCGACTCGGCTCAATAATATTTATGAAACTCAAATTTGACTCGATAAAATTTTTCTTTATTATTTAATATATAAATAATATATTTATTGTAGAATGTAAATAAAGATAAACGAGCCGAACTTATTCAAACTCGAGCTCAATTCGTTTAGTAAATGAGTTTAATATTCGAGCTCAAACTCAAACTCGTTAGCCGAGCTGAGTCGTTAACAAGTCGAGCTGAGTCAACTCACAAACAGTTTAATTGATTTGTAACCCTAACCATGCATAGTGAATAGCAATCATTAGATTAGTGATTTCATTTTTTAAACATTATAGGAATAGTTATGCAAGTGAGAGTGAATACCAAATCATGTGAATGAATAATAGTCATTAATTTATCGATTTTACCCTTTAGACATTATTACAGTAATTTTCAGGCAAATAAATAGTTGTAAAAAATATACTATTGTTTTGGGGTTTTTGAGAATTAAAGTTGTATGACAAAATAGGTTTTTTTTTTAGATGGTTATGACAAAATTGTATATTTTAAACAATAATATAGATATAAATATGTAGAGAGAGAAATTGAAAGACGGTCAGGGCATGGCACGTACTTCCTGTGGCCAATTCTGTGTGTCAAATTTTGTTGAGCTCAAACTCGCTCATTTGCTTGTCGAGCTCATTTATTGAACTTAAGTTCGGCTCGATAAATAATTGTGCTTTAGCTCGACTCGGCTCAATAATATTTATGAAACTCGAATTTGACTCGATAAAATTTTTCTTTATTATTTAATATATAAATAATATATTTATTGTAGAATTTAAATAAAGATAAACGAGGCGAATTTATTCCAACTCGAATTCGGTTCGTTCAGTAAATGAGTTTAATATTCGAGCTCAAACTTAAACTCAAACTCGTTAGCCGAGCCGAGTCGTTAACAAGTCAAGCTGAGTCAACTCACAAACAGTTTAATTCATTTGTAACCCTAACCATGCATAGTGAATAGCAATCATTAGATTAGTGATTTCATTTTTTAAACATTATGGGCATGTTTGATTGGAAGGATTAAAGCATGGGATTAGGATTATTAATCCGTGGGCCCAATCATCCTATGTTTGTTTTGACATTTTAGTTAGTTTAGGACTATTAATCCAATGGATAATTAATCCAACAAATTTGTAGGATTATTAGTAATGGGGTAGGAGTGGGATAGTTAATACCACATTAATTTGATAGGATTATTAATACCTCACTATTAACATTGTGAATCAAACATGACCTATAGGAATAGTTATGCAAGTGAGAGTGAATACCAAATCATGTGAATGAATAATAGTCATTAATTTATCGATTTTACCCTTTAGACATTATTACAGTAATTTTCAGGCAAATAAATAGTTGTAAAAAATATACTATTGTTTTGGGGTTTTTGAGAATTAAAGTTGTATGACAAAATAGGTTTTTTTTTTAGATGGTTATGACAAAATTGTATATTTTAAACAATAATATAGATATAAATATGTAGAGAGAGAAATTGAAAGACGGTCAGGGCATGGCACGTACTTCCTGTGGCCAATTCTGTGTACACAATTCTTCGTTCATTTGTTTGTTTATTTATTTATTTATTTTTATGAATTATAAATATACTTTTTAAGATTTATTTAAAATATGAATTGTCTCTTGTAATTTGAAAAATTATAAATACCTCCTCTTTGTCAAAATTTTTATTTAATAGAATCAATTGAAAAAATGAAATTTATAATTATTTACCAGTACAATAATAAAATTATCTGAATTATTAATTGAAATAAAATTTTAAAATTATTAAAAATTGTTAATTAATTTGATATTTATTAATAAAAAGACCTATTTGTTATGAAATTAAAAACCTTAGGAGGCATAATATAATTTCTAAAATCACAATAAATAATTTATAATTTAAGTAAACAGCCGAGGGTGTGTTTGTAATTTAGTTTTTTTTTTTTTTTCGGGGTCAGACGTACGTAACACACTTCTGTAAAGTGTGTGTTACGTCTTTTGAACTCGTGTGTATATATATATGTCTCTCGCTATGATTGAAAAGGTTTAGCATTCTTATCATACACAAACTTTTTTAAAAAGTCATTTGGGTTAAAAATTAGTTTTTAAAATTTTTTTTATCATATTATTTCTTTTTTTTTATATGTTTTTTTAAAAAAATCAAAAAAAATTAAAAAATTAACTTTTAAGCTGGTCAATATTTTTTTATTTAAATTTAACAATTCCAATTTTAAAAAAATGAAATTATACACAAGTTTACTTTTTAAATTTATTTTATAGACCTAATAAAGTATAAGTGATATGATTGGTTAATGATTAAGAAGATATGAAAGACTGTATTACAGTTAATATCTTAATTGATTATTATATTACTGGGCTTAAAAATTAAGTTAATTTTTAAATCCTCTTAATCATTGCTAATAATATATTATTATTATTTCTTTAAATATTATGATTTCAAAACATGTTATTATGTAATTACTATTTTTAATTTCAATGGTTATGGTATGAAATCTATATCTATGTCTATATTTTTATCTATACTATAATATATTAGTATTATTTCTTTAAATTTTATAGTTTCAAAACATGCAATGATGTAATTATTATTTTAGTTTCAATAGTTATGATATGAAATCTATATCAATATTTATTCTATCATATAAAATATTATTGATTAATTTTTAAATATATTAGTAATATATTAGTATGATTTCCTTAAATTTTGTGATTTCAAAACATTCAATAATGTAATTACTATTTTTAGTTTCAATGGTTATGGTATAAAATTTATATCTATATCTACACTTATATATACTATAATATAAAAATAGGGCAATTACTCTAATTGTCTCTACATTTTGTTCCTTATATCATTTTTGTCCATATACTTTCAATTGACTCAAATTTAACTTTTAATTTTAAATATTGTGCCAATTTGATCCAATTGATAATGTCAATAGTGTTTTTGACAATAAATTATCATTGAATTTGTTGAAATTAACTCACTTGGTTGAGTAAGTTTATATTTTTTCTTAAAATTATGACACGTGCTATTTATATATGCTTTTTTTTGTCATAAAAAAAGACTAAGAGTAGTAATTAATTGGACCAAATTGAGACAAAACCATAACTGTGGGGTCAAAATCAAGTCAATTGAAATTATAAAGATAAAATTGACATAAGGACTAGAGTACAGGGACTATTGTCGTAATTTACTCATAAAAATATTATTGGGTCAATAAATTTAAAACTTCTAATCCAAATTATATAATATAAGTAAAAAATTTGTGGCCTCTTTCAGCTTGAAAATCTCAATATAATTTTTTTCATATTTTTTGAATTTTTTAATATTTAAAATACACGTCATTTTTTGATTAATCTAAAATCTAATTTACATAAATTAAGTTAATTTTTAGAATAAACCTATACGCACCAATTAGTATACCAATTAGCACCACTGGAATTTTTAGACCCTCTTAATCATTGTCAATAATGTATTAGTATTATTTTCTTTAATTTTGTGATTTCCAAACATGCAATGATATAATTGCTATTTTTAGTTTCAATGACTATGTTATAAAATTTATATCTATATCTATACCATGATATAAAAATATTATTAGATCAATAAATTTAAAACTTGTAATCCAAATTATATAACATAAGCAAAAATTTTGTGACCTATTTCAGGTTGAAAATCTCAATATAATTTTCTTATATTTTTTGAATTTTTAATACTTTTGGCATCCTTCAAAAAATCTAAAAAGTCAAAAAGTCACTATCTTATTTAAGTCACATCATCTTATTTAAGTCACATCACCTCTCTAACACATCACTTCAAACCCAACCCAAATCCAACCCGTATTTCATAAAAAATCAAAAAGTACACTTATTTAGTCTTCTCAAACTTGGCCTTAAAGTACACATGTTATTTTTTAATCAATCTAAAATCTAATTTACATAAATTAAGTTAATTTTTAAATACTCTTAGTCATTGTCAATAATATATTAGTAGTATTCTTAAATTTTGTAATTTCAAAACATTCAATGATGTAATTATTATTTTTAATTTCAATAGTTATAGTATGCAATCTATATCTATACTTATATCTATACTATTATATAAAAATATTATTGGTTAATTTTTAAATCTTATTAATCATTGTCAATAATACATTAATATTGTTTTGTTAAATTTTGTGATTTCAAAATATACAATGATATAATTACTATTTCTAATTTCAATTGTTATGGTATGAAATCTATATATATCTATACTATTATATAAAAATATTGCTCGGTCATTAAATTTAGAACTTTAAATCCAATTTTTTTATATTTTTTAAA